AAAAATGTGTCTTGCAAAATTTGACATGATTTTTGTATGAAACTTTTGAAGAAAACTTTTGAAGAAAAGTTTCATACAAAAATCATGTCAAATTTTGCAAGACACATTTTTTTTCAACATTTTTTCGTCTGAAAAAAATTGACATGTTTTTTACATGAAACTTTTTTTTGCGATTTTTTTGGTCGTTATTAAGATAATATGTTATTATTATGTCAAATCTTTAATAACGTTATTAAGATAAAAAAAATCCCAACATAACATAATAATAAATATGTCGGGCAATAACATATTAATAACATATCGAAAATGTAAATCTGTAATAGCAACTTTATAAAGTGCAATTATTGTGGATTGTGTTTCATTTGATTGCATGCTCTTAATAAGAAGTAATTATCAAAGAAGTATAACGAATGTTTTCTTCTGGTTTTTTTTTTCTTGTTCCCATCCACTTGAAATGCATAACTTATTTGCTACACGACGAAACGAAAACAACAACAACAACAACAAAAACATCAAAATAACGTAGGTGACGCACCTGATGAGGCACTAAGATGGCTATTATCACGTATTCGAGCACAGCCACCCATTGGGCTGGGCCTACAAACAACGGTCAAAGCGCACGAGAGCACAAAGTGTACGGCATTTTATGTGTCAGCTCCAGCGAACATGTACGTATTTCATTCGATTATTATACACACTTGTGCCACCGAGCCACCGAGACCAAGCAAATGCTCATTCTTCACGTTGCTCATGATATATAAATTGGCTAAATTAATTAAATGATTGTTAGCTTGCCTCTCTCCGCAGTCCGCACTTATTACTTGTGTTTTATGTGCCCATGGCGCTGAATTGCAATGAAGCCACCCCAAACTTTTAATGATAATAATTGTTTAATTTGGTTTGGTTGTGATTTTGGATTGGTTTCAGTTTGTATCGGGCGGCCGAAGAAGCGCGACTTCCGAAACGATTGCGATCCGATTTGGGTGGTACGCTGCGAGAGTTTACGTCACGTGAATGTCATTGCTTTGCTCAAACAAAGAACCAAGATGGCACGGCCGCATTGTTCACATCACAAGAAAGACAGTGGCTGGTTCTTCAAGTTTTACAAGGTCTTCGAGCCGGTACCACCGATTTGACAGCGTTACAGGGCAGAGCAAGCGTCGAAGACGGACAAAGTATAGGTAATGATAGCGAAGTCAAATCCGATATCATGTCCATCAATTTTCCATTTTTTTTCATTTACAAGTCGCGGCCTGGCAACAAAGTGGTTTAATCCATCAGATTTTTCCATTACACGAAACAAGCGCCTTAACTAGTTTGCAATTAAATTGGGTACGAAAGCTATTCAGTGCACAGCCTCTTGATGCCATTGCTGAGTACTTTGGGGTCAAAGTTGGATTGTATTTCGCATGGTTAGGTGAGTCGACTGAATTCCTCGAGAAATTAACTTCAACGTTTGCAACTTAACATAGATTTAATTCACTTAATTCCGTTTCGTTTTGTCGGTTGCACCTAGATTATTCCAGAGATTCAATATGAGAGTAGATAATTTGCGACATTTAATTTCATATATATTTAAATATTTGGCAGGTCATTATACGTGCGCACTGGGTGTACCAGCGATATTTGGCACCATTCTATGGGCAGCACTGTACAACAGTGGACAAATCGCTCAAGATGTTGGTCATGTGATATTCTCTTTATTTAACGTTGCCTGGGCATCACTGTATTTGGAAGCATGGCGACGCTATTCCGTTGAGCTTGCATTTCGATGGGGAACGCTTTCAACGCCACCAGATTTATTAGAACCACCTCGACCATTGTACAAAGTAAGTTCTGCGTAAATTATCAAAGTTTTTCGGTGTGTAATTCAATTATGCAACGAATTTTCGATAGAAACTCTCGCAAAAGCGAGAGAAAGCACGGAAGAACGATGAGGCCGTTCCGTTTCAAAACGGTGTGCGAAAATGCTCATTTTATCTTCTGTTCTGTTTTTTTTTTCTATATTCTCTTTGTAGGGTAAATTGGATGTGAGTTCAGTGACTGGGCGACTGGAACCAAAAGAAGCGCCAGCATGGCAACGGCTTGCATTTCGCTATTTAGTGAGTTTTCCAATTATCGGTCTGTGCTTGGCATTAGTGTTCGCTGTCATGTTCACCATGCTACAACTTCAGGTAAAAAAAAACGACAACGAGAAGACAAGTGAAAATCAATTTTCCACTTTCCACCTTTTTCGACCACCGCAGTTTTCATTTTAGTCGCCTCGCTTTATCCACCGCTTTCTCATTCGCTCTATCTCACTTTCAACCTGTCTCATTCAATCTTTGCAGCTCTCACATCAGCACAGATGATCTCATCTATTCTACGTTAAAAATCCATTGTCAACACTTTGCCACTAGCGTATCCATCTGTCAAAAAGATTTCACCTTTTGTTTTAACACATTCTCTCCCCCTCTTTATGTGTGCCACTCAATCCATTTTGATTGCATTCAATGTTACATGTAAATGCTAGAGTAAATGTAGGCAACTGAGAATACATGTTAATCACATTGAGACACAATTTCAAACAGACAAATGAAATTATTTGTTGATTTTTTAAGTGCTTCCATTAGGGTGGTCCAAACTGATTTATCATGCTCCCAATAGCTTAAAATTAAATTGGGCTCAAAACTAGCTGATTCCTAAAAATGATATGTCACCAGGGCTGGAATTCTAAGTCATTCCACCAAAATCGTTCGGAATTATTCTTTTCGTACATAAGACCATATTGGAGTGAAAGAGAGAGATTCCACTAATTTTCTGGATATCACCGGAATTATTCCGATAACTATCACTTTTCCTTGAAAATCTTAATAATTCCGGTGATATCCAGAAAATTAGTGGAATCTCTCTCCTTCACTCCAATATAGTCTTACGTACAAAAAAAATAATTCCGCACGATTTTGGTGGAATGTCTTAGAATTCCAGCCCAGATTCGATTTGAATAACCTATGGATTTTCTATCAATATATTTGTTGAAAAATAGGTCAAAAACAGCCATTTCAAATACGGCTCTATCGACCACTAGTTTTAAACATTTTTTTAATCTGAAAATGGGAATCAGCTAGTTTTGAGCCCAATATAATTTCAAGCTATTGGGAGCATATACCCTACCATGACAAATCAGTTTGGACCACCCTAGCTTACATGCACAATAGATAGCCTTCATTTAACAAATAGATCAATATTGTTGATTTTTTTTCTTCCTTTTTTATACATTTTGTTCTTTTCATTTTCTCTTTGGTTCAACAACATGACAACACAACACTCTTCTTGTATATTCGAACAGGATTGGCTTGATCATCATATTCCATTTAATGGAGTTTGGAATTGCATGTGCATGGCACATCAGGTTTAGTTTATGTTTTCTTTCATTCATCCATTCATGCATTCAACCATTCATGTTTGCCCATTTTGTTGCTAATAGTTTCGTAAGCGCGATTTCATACTTTGGTTCTGTTGGACAGAACTTCGGTTTTCTGTTTTTATTTTCTCCATTTGATTTTTCTTCTTTTTTTTTCATTTTAGATACACTTAACACAGGCTTTTACATTTTTTTTCAAACAAACTTGTATTTTTTATTTAAGCCCCAGCTTATGTCCCATTGCAATAGAGTAGCACCTCATCATTTCAATCCATTAAGTTTTAGTATTTAAATTTTTTGTTTCGTTCCGTTCATGTTCGTTTTGGTTGATGTTAATGTCGATAGCAACCGCTGACTGATTCGAAATGTAATTTTTTCCTCATTATTTTCCCCTGTCTCCTTGATGACCTTTTAGGATTGGGCTGATGCCAAATTACCAGAAAAAGGCTTATTCAGTTGCCTAAGCGTGATACCCAAGGTTTTATTGGCGGGCGCAATAACATTAATGGACGAAGCTTATTTTAAATTAGCCGTTTGGCTTAACGATAGAGGTTTGATTCTTTTTTACTTCATTTCTATTTTTTTCATCGTTTCGAATTCGAAATTGCAAACAGAAAAAAGCAATTTCCTTCTCATTTCGCATGCACTTTAATCGACCGCATTCTAATCACAATCAATATTCCCACTTTTTTGCTGTGTAATTGGCAATCTATGCAACACACACCGTGAACCATTTTCCATTTGTAGAAAATTATCGGCTTCAATCGAAATACGAAAATCATCTGATTGCAAAAGTGGCGCTGTTTCAGTTTGTGAACTCGTTTCTGTCATTGTTCTACATTGCCTTTTATTTGCGTGATCAAGACAAATTGAAGGAGCAACTGGCCGGACTTTTAATATCTCGACAAATTATCGGAAATTTACGTGAGTCTGTGTTTCCGTACTTTATGGAACAGCTCAAACTTGCCAAGTTGAGCTTTGCATTGGGTGGTGCATTTAGCCCAACACAAGAACCAGCTAAACCAATCAGCAACGATAGCAAGGTAATTTCACTTATTTTGATTTCGAAATTCGTATTGTGCACGCGCTAGCTGCATGCAATTGCGGGCAAAGTAGAACGTGCATTAGATTAAAATCAGCCAATCGATTTAGAAATGAGCCAATCGATAATTTTGTTTATTTTGTTTTGAACGTTAGAAAAATGATGATATCAAGGAAACTAATAACACATCGACACCAGGCACACCGAAGCGAACGATTGGCCAAGCTGAAATCGAAAGTTCGTACTATAAATATGATGGCACATTCTCTGATCATTTGGAAATGCTCGTACAAATGGGTTATGTGGTCCTGTTCTCTGCTGCATTCCCTTTGGCTGGCGTATGTGCGTTAGCGAATAATTTATTGGAAATTCGTTCGGACGCTTTCAAATTGGTACATGTACACCAGCGACCGTTTGGGCAACGTGTTGCCAATATTGGAACATGGCAAACGGCACTTAGTTTCTTGAGTTTGGCCGCTGTGATTGTGAATTGTGCTTTAATCGGTTTATCGGGACAGGTTTCACGACTATGGCCGGGCTTAAGTGCAGCTCAAACAATTATATTGATTGTTGCATTGGAACACGTTATGCTTGGCCTAAGGTCAGCGCTCACTTGGATTTTGCCCGAACTGCCAACGTGGCTGGCAGCGGAAATTGCTCGCGCCGAACATTGCAGACATGAAATGCAGGTTAAAGGTACTTCACCCAGACAAACTCCACCAACGCCATCGTCAATGGCATCCGTTTCACGGCCAAATGACGATCAAGAGGAAACAACACCGTACACAGAACTCAACGATCAACTTGACGATGAAATCACTTTCATACCAATTAGCCCAAGGGCGACCAACTTCAATGTACATGACATTTTGAATGCGAACATTGAAGCAGATGTCAGCATTAATGAAGCTTTGAACAAGGAATTCACACCAGATTCGCCCGTTGTTCAGGTTGGTATTTTGATTTTTAGAGATTCAAGCTTTTTGTTGGTTTTTTTTTTGTTGAAATATATGTATGACGATGATGTATCGATGCATCATCAAACCTTTTTCAACGAAAAAACTTCACAAAGATTGAAAAACTAGTTGAAAAAAACGAAACAATTCGAAATACCGAGCTAAAAAAAACCATTTTTTCCTTGCAGCAATTGAGTAAGCCACCTTTTGAATCGCACACCAGAGTGTCGATGCAGAATTTACGCCTGGAAATTCCACCGTATGCCGGGTATGTTACGAACATTTACCGAAGATATTCAACACAATTTTTTTGTTTGAAGAACAGACAAGCTTATATCAGCGATGCCAGATGCAATTATGAGATTTTTGACGCATTAATATATTCTAATTAGCGAAAAACAATCCGCATCCCAATTTTGAGTTGTTTTGAAAAAAATGCATAACATCACTTTGTAGAGAGCTGCAAACCAGTCTAGAAAAACAAAACCAAACTGCTACTACGAGCTTGGCATCAACTAGTTGGAATGAGAAACAAATACAAACTAACTGACTATATCTCTTCATTTGTTTTTTGCTGTGAAAATATGTTCACGTATCGAACATTAAAAACAATTTGTTTTTTGTTGCTGTCGTTTTTTTTATGAACAACTTATGCTGAATACAACTATTTTCCAATCGTTCTCTTCTCTCATATATATCTCTGTTTTGATTTCGTTTTCTTCTTTTTTTTGGAATACGGTGAAACAAACAAACCGAACAAAAAAAAAAACAATTTAGCGCATGTAAAAATTGCAAGCAGATCATGAAAATCGAAATACCTCCATTTGGCGGAAATCGAAAAATGCACGCTTTACCAACCGGGTAATCTCTTTTCGTTTGTTTAACAAAATGCTATGTTTTTATTTTGCATTATTATTTGGATGACTGGATAAAAAAAAAGAAAACACGGAGAGAACGAGAGAAAAAAATAAATTCTACATGAAAAACGAATAAATGAATATGTTTTGTGAGATGCATGTCAGTCAATAGATGTGTGCGACATTTGAAGCCCTTTAGAGAAGGAAAAAAAAATGCCAGGGATAAAAATAGAGAGCGAGAAAAAACCAACACAGTATAGAGTCATAATGTTGTATATGTTGTGCTTGTGCGTGTCGCATGTTCCAACCTGTTGGTATTTCTACGATATTTGCTGACAGTTTTACTCGTTGCATGTTAATTTAAACAAGGGCTTACTGATTTTCAATGGAATAAATCGATTCAAGTAGAACATTTTGCTTTTGTAACATTTTGCTTGTAGATGTTAGATTGTGCATTAAAACCCGATGCGTTGTTCAATTTCACATTATATTGACTAAAATTGTGTATTTTTATGTGTGTGCGGGAAAAATAGGCCATCAACAAGCGCCTCGTTTCGAGTATCATCGCAGCCGATGAAAATATTGGAAATTCCACAGTATCGGAAAAATCAATTGAATCAAAATCCAACAGCGATAGTGAATCCATCGCCGCCGCGTGGCATTCCGGAAATTCCAGCATTCAAGCCGAGAAACTCGAATGACTGGCAACCAAATGCGATCGATAATAGCAATCAGGAATTCCAACAGCTGCACATACCGCCAGCAATGAATTCCGATCTAGTGCGTCGTTTGAAAAATTCTGAATCAACATCGGTTCATCGAAGTATTGATTGCATTGTGGCCGGCAGCAAGGATGCACACACCGCGAAAGCGGATTCAGCAATGAAAGTGGCACCATCATGGACAAATGTCGCACAACGATCCGAATCGATATCAAGCACAACCGGAGTCGTTCGGTCTAGTGGCTCGAAAAAGTCATCAATCGATGACGAAACAAAAGGTAAATCCAGCTCCTTATCCAATAAACCCCTTTACTCAACATTCTAATTTATTTTGCTTTTCATCTGAATGACATAAAAAAAATTGAAAAATAATTATTAAAATGCTTCGCTTGACCAAAACCAAATTTTATACTGGGCTACGCAATAGCAATCCTTCTGATAGATTTGTGTGAATATCATCAATTCTATGCATTATTAGGCCACAAACGAATATCACAAAACACAAAACGCGGTCGACGATTGACCCGAAGACGAAATACCAATGATAGCGATGACAGCCACACGTCATTTCATACCAAATCAAATCGATCCTTTGTTGAACTATTTTGTTTAGGCCGCGTCAAAGGTTCGTTATGTCTGTATGTGTGTGTGTGTCTGCCACTCTTTCTCTTTTTTTCTTTGTAAATGTAAGCTTGCGAATGCAAACAAAAACAATTTAATCAACAACAACAACAAAAACCGTAAAACCAATCCTGTACACCAGTGCTGTCCAACCTTTTTTTCCGCGTGGCCACAAAAGTGTTCAGTCGTTCAATCCAATGGCCACTTTAAGAAAAAACAAAAAACGCAGTACACACAGTAGAAAATGTAATATTTCTTTGTTTGTTTATTCATTCAGTGATTAGTAATTAGTGGGATGTTTGACAATCTTTATTTTCGGTCAGTTTATTAAGATCAGGCGTTGAATCGGCTAGTTCGCAACGAAGTTCAGATTCCAAGTTTGTTTGCGATAGTGCATTGCGGTATTTATGTTTACTACGTGTTACACTGGAGAATGAAGCCTCACAAACGTATGTGGACCCGAACATGCAAAGAAATTTTGGCACAACATCTTTAAGAACTAGAAAATTGCATTCAGATAGCAAACGTCTCCACAATGCATCACTTGTTTCATTTGGAAAACCACTTTCTTCATTTATCAATGAAATATCGAATCCCAAGTGAGTTTTCTGGTACTTCATCGTCAAATGTCACGCAGACAAGTAACGGTGCTTGCGTTTTCGAAATAATCGTTCTCGTTGTATCTTCGATATCGCTATGATTCATTTTGTGCCTTATGAAATACATTACCGAAATCAGTCGCCGGTAAATATAAACATAAACAAATGAAAACGAACGCCGTATCATTGTTGTATAAACAAGACTCCACAATATTTGGCGAGAGCTGCTAATTCGATCATAACAAATAAGTGTAAGAAACATATCGCTATGAATCACAACTTTATCAAATGTTTATGTCTGGAAGAAATAACGTTGCGACGAAAATCTATCTAATGAACGATATACCTACTCATTTTGTTGGTATTGCTGTATATTGCTCTTTCTGCCGTTTTCGTCTTGCAAACTACGAAATTCGTTGGAACGAAATATATTGGGCATAAATTCAAATCATCTATCTAAAAATCCATAATTATAATAAAAAATCGTCAAAATCTTCTCGTTGGCCATTCAAATTTTTCGCTTGGCTACAAGTGGCCAAGTGGCCATCTAGGTTGAACAGCACTGCTGTACACCATCACCGATTATGTGTAGTACCTATTCATAATGTAATTTGAAATTCCCTCTCACTTTTTATACCTTTTGCGTATGTGGTAAACATCATTTCATCTCAATTAAAGTCACATCCTTTGCTGTGTTGCTTTGAAATGCTCAGCTGAATGACATTGATTTGGTTTATGTGCAATGAACGCACAATTTCAAATTGATTGCTTTGAAATGAAGAAAAAAACGATTGAAATTTTATAGACTGAAAAAAATACTCAATTCGATAGAATTCTCACGTTTCCAAAACGACATCGTGAGCTCAATTCGACTGGTGATTTTAGCCAGACTTGTATAGCAGAATTTTATTCTAGGAATACCTTTACATTTCTCACTCAGGCATTTCTATTCATCATACCCAAACGCTCATCCATTCTCTAATGCTATTCTCAGAATGCTATAAAGTAAATAAAATTCTTTTACCGAACAGCTTTATTTATCGATTCAGGGAAATTCAAAGCTTTTCACGGAAGTAAAATTCATTCTAAACACCGTTCAATGAACGTTTATCTGCTCGATTAGGAATAAATTTTTAAGGCGAGATTTATGCTTCAATTTTCAATCAAATTCACAGAAAATTTATATGGAAAATGTGCCCGCAATCGATTACGACGCACTGAGCATCTAATTTATTTGCTTAAATTGGAATTAAACTCGATTTAATTGCTTCAAATAGAACACCTTTGAATAATAAATCATAATTCACAGAAGAATACTTTTTATTACCGTAAAATTGAAAATAATGAGAGTTGTCGTCGTTAAAAATACAAAAAATTCTAGAAACAATTCACACTTTGAACTTCAAAAGTTTTCTTTCTATTACAGTAATAACACTTTCAGACGGCTCTGATGATAACAATAAACGCTTAAAACTTGATTCGAATGCAATAACCATGTCATTATGTCAACTGCAGAAAAAACATTTCAAAAAGATTGCTTTGAATGTTTTTTCTGTATCTTTTTTTGTTCAGTTCGTTAAAAGGTAGTAGGGCAACATTGCTATTGTGCAATTGTGAAATTGTATCATCAAAGAGGAAAAGTTTCTATTCATGTTTTTTATGGAAAAGAAGCGATGTCATAAGGGCATTATAAAGGTCCTTTGTTAGCTGAATTAAATTGAAATTGATGGCAATCACAAAAGGCTTCTCACAAGTTATGCAATTTCATAAATCAATTCAATCAGCGATCTCATAGTTAATTTTTGTGCCATTCCGCATTCAGGAACATTAAAGATACAACATTCTTTTTGAGCACATCACATTGTACAAAAGAATTTTAAAATCGTCAATGTTTTAAACAAAAAAGGTTTATGCTAATTGGTTCCCAACATCGGTGAATGTAATTTTGTTATTAACTCAATTTAAAAGGGTGGTAATCGGAATAGTTTTAAGTACTAATTATAAATATCGAAACAGCGAATGGACAGAACAATGATTTGAATGTCGAAGTAAACCAGTTATCACGATAATGAACGGGTCGAATTCGACATAAATATCTCTGAAAAATTTGATCTTTGGAACCAAATAAATAAAATAATTCCTTCAAATGTTAGCTAAAAAAATTATTTCTGCTCTCAATTTTGGATATATGAGCATCACAGCCGTATTGCATCGTTGGAATACGTAATTTTCCCTGTAAATAGAGTTTGTCATTGGCTGTATGGTTTGGTTCTGTTCTATTCTAAATAATATCGATGAATTATCTCAAATTATTAACCAAATCACTGTATTTTTGGATGTAATCAATCGAAACTCTGCGTGTGATTTTATTTTACGTGTAAATAATATCGTTTTGTGGATTATGTAGGTAATTTGGTCTCTCTATTTGTTTTTTTTACACAACTCAAGTGTTTAGTATTTGAACCGTAATTCCTATGTTGCACCGAAATCAAGTTGGCAAAAAAAATCCATCGAAATCCATTTACTTCCACTTCCATCTGTTATGTAACACTCTTTGATGTTTTGGATTCTCTGCAGTATATTGAAAACGAAAATGTGTATTCACCATTAATTGTTGCAATATTTTGTCTCATTTGGAAGCCCAGCATTCATTTTTTCACAGAGTTGTTGACGACATTTTCTATGAACAATACTCTAAGCTATGTTTTTGGTTTTGACAGCTGCTGAGCTAGCGGCGAAGAAGTCCCGCGTCAAGCAGAGCCTGATTAAACGAGCGAGATCCGTGGCCATATTCTCATTGAAACTCAAGGAACGACGAGCTCGAGAGGCTGAAAAACAAGCATACAATCTTGCTGAACAGGAAAAAGTGAGACCAAAATTTTTGAGCCATATTTTAATTTAAATGTCATTTAAACTTTTTTATTCATTCTCAACTCGAATCTTCATAGGCAATGAATCCACAACCGCCCGGAGGAGAGCTTGACATGATTGGCATCGAACAACTCATCCAAATCGACGATATTCAAAATAACAAATAGGCTGAAATTCAATTGAACCAAGCATTGGAAATGGGGCATTATGAAAAAATGATGAAGCTACAGCACAAACGGAACGGAACGTAAATCAAAATCGAAGGTCAACCATGAGAAGAATGACACATGCACACCATTAGAGGCTGTAGAAAAACTGAAATAAAACTCCGATTTTTTAATCAAGAGAACGATTTTATCCAATAGAAACTACATGCAAATTAAAATATAGAATAAAAAAACAGTAGAATAGCAAGCCATAGTACATACAGGATAGTGAGAGGCAAGCAAAATTTAAACAAGGCCTATTAGCTCTACCCTTGAAATTGTCTGAGATTGAAAATATTGTTGAAATTGAATCAGGGCTTCAAAGCAGCATTATAATTTTTCCGCTCTTGCGAAAAAATAAAATATACAGAAATATATATAGAACATCCCTAATCACCCTCTTGAAAACTGCTTGAATTTAGAGCATTCAATTTACGTTGCTAACAATAAAAAAAAACACAGAAAATATTCGGAGCTTCTTTCGGAATTGATTTTTAGCCAATGAAAACGTTCATAATAATACTAGAGAAGAAAAACACACACACAACTAATTAAAATAGACTATCGATAATTCTGTGAATTATCAAAAACAAAAACAAAAAACAAAGGGGAATCATTGAACAAAAAATAAACTAGGTGAAAATATGTATTTAGCAAATGCAAGAATTAGCTGAAGATGTTAGACCAATGCAAAGAATTATTATCTCGAATACTGTGCCTGCTTTTTTGGAAAGTGTAGGGAATCAAACCAAGGAACATTAATGCGAGAATGTTTGAATATATCGGTACATTTTTCTAAGTAAAAATGGCAGTCAAAATGGATCTTAAAGCAAAATGCTAACTTTTAGTCGTTAGCCGGACTGTTGAATATTCAATATGGCTAAATTTCAAGAGAAAAGAATGAAAAGACAAGAGCAATATTTGATCCGGTTTGAAATTGGTAGAATGATTGCAATAATATCAAAGTACAACACAGATACACACGTCCAACAAATGTGATGTCCGAACCATTTTCAAAAGTGATCCGCGTGAAAAATAATACCACACCGAGTTAAACATGTGATCAAGTTCACGTTGTTGTAAAAAGTGACCATTAATCGTGTTTTTAATGTAGCGACCACTCCCAATCGTTTGACGGCGTCATGAGATGTCGTGTGTTTGACCTTTTGGTCATGCTCCAAAATCTACTGGATTTCACATTTTTTTCTCTTTTAATTTGTTTCTTGTTCGGCTGTTAATCAAATTTTTATATTTTCGCTTGACATCATCGACAATAGCTAAATGCTCATATCTAATGCATGGTGATCGTATTGTATGTATGTGTGCGCGCGCAAAAACTAAAATTACACCAACAGAACACGAAATCTCCATTTTTTTTTCTCTAAACATTCTATACCGTGAACCGTATAAATTATATGTAAACAATCCCAAAATACTAATAAAAATGTTATAAAAACGAGTAATAGCGCAGCATGGAATTTAGTGGAAATACGGTATTAATGCATAGGCATATAGACAACAACTGAGTTGAGACACAAAATGATAGATCTGCAAATAAATCAAAATCAAATCGAATAAAACTCCCATTTTATACATAATAAATAGTTAGCGATAGAGAATGCACACTATGGAAATGATTCCAAATTAAATGAGAAATAAATCACATTTTAAACCACAAAAAACGACAAATGAGTTGATATAAATGGAATAAAATTGGCCTATACTGAAGAAAATAAATGCGTCACGGCAAAAGAGGAAATAAATCATCAATTGATTCATTTGATAGAGATTTCATTACAAAATAATTCTTATTGATTTTTTTTTCTCGTTTCATTGAATATCTTATTCAATTTTTTTTATTAACAAAAAAAATTAACAGATGTTTTCTCCCCCGAGTAACAATAAGATAATTCAAAGAGAAAAAATTTCAACAAACAAATTCAAACCGTAAATCATTATTTGGAGAAAAAAAGAAAAGAAAAGAAAAGAAAAGAAATTGTGACCGAAGAGAAAGAGAGACAATGTTGATAACGATCTTCATCGAAAAAAAACCTCCGTCGGGAAATAAAAATTAGCAGCAAATTATGCAAAATTGAGGGGAAAAAACACATAGAGGAAATGGATCAAACACCGTTAGTACAACGATCAGTTAATATGCAAATTTAGTTGATTCTATTGCTAGAAGCGCCATCGCTGACACTCGCTCAGCGCATAACACTCCATTCACAAGTTTTTATATGACATCGTTTTTTTTTCTGTTTCGAAACCGCTAATTTATCTACTAATTTCTTTTTATCTATAATTTTTTGTCATATAAACACCAATTTTGATAAGGAAAATCTGTTAATCAACAAACTGGCAATGACTCAATCGAATTGGCGCAAATGTGATTTAAAATTAAGCACTTATGAAGCAAATTATATGTCCGGTTACGATTCAACCATATTCAATTGGACTGCGCAGGGAGGCAAAGTAACCAGAGCTTCGATTGATTATGAATTGATACTGTAATTGAATTGCAAGTGATTGCTAACGATTCCGTACATTATTCACATTATCGTATTTGCGTACATCAATGATTTTCTTCGTTGTTGCATTCGATTCATTTAATTTGCCTCATTTTTCACTTGCACTCCATTCGTAAACTGCATAAACGCAACAATTCCGTTCTTCTTCTCCTGCTGCTGCTCGTCGCGCATATCTAAACACTCCAAACTATTTTTATATATTTAAAAAACCAAAAAGAGAAATGCGAAACGTGAATGAAAAACGACTTTATGTTATTAAACCAAAAAAAAAATCCTCGTGGAATAAGATTTTGATCCCAAATTGTTGAATGTTAAATGTTATGAACAACATGAATTTTATTCTAAACGCTATTCAAAAGCAAAGCTATTGTATTTATCAAGTTATTTATTTATTTCAGTTTTTGTAGCAATTGATGAGACAAAAAAATTAATAAAGAAATATCAACCAGAAATAAAATGTGGGAATTGTTTCAATTTTTTTTGGAAATTTATTTATTCATTTATTAATAATGGCGATCCGTCTACACAATTAAATATTTTCATATTCCATCTTCAAACTAGTTTTTCTTTTTTCCATTCATTCAACGTGCACATTTAGGTAGCTGAACACGATAACGAACGGATAATGTGGTGAATTATTGTCATCGTCATTGTATGTGATTTAAAGAAACACTTTGAGAAATTTTTTGTTTTGATCCATTTAATAAACTCTCAAACGGCGACATTAAATTACCATAATCAGCATTGATCATCATTAAATTGTCATCCGCACACAGTCAATTAAGCACGCGATCAATGTAATATTTGTTTAATTTTCTTGTTTTCTTCGCTGTGTGTGTGTGTGTGTTGTCTATGGTGCTCAGCTCGGCGGCGAATTAACGACAATTTATTATGTCCAGAGAGACTTTCATTTTATTTATTAACGCTAATCGTTGCGGTGTGTTCACTTCAGGTGCTGTACATTGCATCACGGTGTGTCTCGAACGGTTATGCCACAAAAATAAATTCATCAATCAATTCAAATCGAATTATAGTGCGATGAGACAAGAAAAAAAAGTGAAAAGAATGCGACGAGAAAAAGAAGTCAAAAGAAAGAAAGAAAAGAAGTCAGATTTCGCCGTCATTGATTTTTTTCCATTAAAGATGAAAATATCCGATAAAAAAAATACGAAAAAAATGTGTTACAAATAGCGTGAACATTGATGAGGTGACCGGTATCATAATAATGTACAATAGGTGGCCACTGGCCAAGGTATGAATGAAGTTGATGTCAAACAGAAAAAAAAACATGCTGCCGATGGAAATCGACGACGGTAACGAATAGAATATGCATACGAGCGATATCAATGGACGTACATATGGCCAACAACACATCATGAATAAAAAGTAGTGATCGAGAAACGATTGGGAGGAAAAAGTATTAATGAATCAGAAGCAAGTACGAGTTACGAGCCAGTCCATCGAGAGAGAAAGAGAGAAACAGATAAAATGCTTGAAATATTTTGACGCTGTTTAAAACGTGGTTGCAATGCATTTACAACACATGACCGATGATCCATCGATAGAGACACAGAGACAGAGTAAAACAAGACAGCAGATCGTCGCTTCGCTCCGCTCTGCGTTCTTGAAGCTTGTAAATTTAAGGGTTTAATTAATTTGATGTTTCTCATCAAATTATTATCGTAAGCACCACATGGAATGTAGTTTTAATCGTTGGAAATGTCTGTTTCACAAGTTTTAGTTATAAATCATTTTAATATTGTCAAAAATAATTAAATAAATTCATATGATGATATTGTATTCTTCACTTATGTGCAATGTACATTGTACATTATACGTTCAATGTGAACGGCCATCGTACATTATTTCACATTGGCAACGAAAAAAGTGTAAATTTTTTTTGAGTTATCTCAAAATTGAAATACATGAACATGATATTATTTCATTTTTGCAATTAGGCGTAATTGCTTTATTTGAAATAAAAAATGTGGATATTAAAATGCTCCAAAAAATGGCCTGAAGAGTCTTAAAATTTTCTCGTAAAAAAAATCACTACAGTAGCCTACATTCCATGTAGTGCTAAAAACACAACAACGACAAGAAAAATAAACAGATAAACCTGTAGAAAAGAATAATAATCAGCGATGTGTATGAGAAAAAACTGTGATTGGCTTCCTTGAAAACAAGTTCCCTTTTTCCATTAGACATGTGATAGAGACAGAGAGAGCGGGAGCGTAACGCGTAAACGCGTTGGATATACATTATACATACAATGATTATTATGCACTGATAGAGTCAATGTGTAATAAAAATTGATGATCTGATTCGATGGGTTTTAATACGTGCGCGCGAGAGCAACCGAGCGCGTCTTTGGTGCGATTTAGTCATGCTATTTACTTGGTATGAATATTCATGGCGAAAGACACGCCACGATGGAAGAGAAGAAAACGGCCCGAACGATGTGTGACATTGCAGTCGGCAAGCCAAGGTGAATATATTGTATGGATATGTCTACACAACCGTGTCACTCGTTTGGCATACGACCATTAACAAAGTACAGAAATGAGTGCGCGCAAGAAGTCATAAATGATTTAAAGAATCTCCCGTGTCAGTGGTTTGTTGTAAAAGCGCATTTAGTGCAATGCGGCACGGGTACAACGTAACCATCGGCCAATTTCATACGTGACTCCGACGGTTATTATAATCTCTATAGGCAAATCATCGCAAACGCACTCGATCAATATCAAATGTTACGTTCTGTTTTTGATTCTTCCTGGACTTCTTTCCTGTTTGTTTTTTCTCTCTCCTCTTCGTTTCCTTCATCATCGTTTGCGTTCGCTGGCATCGACAGCTACCGTTAAAACTGCACAATTAAGAAATATGATTACTTGTTAACGCCACTGTGCAAACGTTTAAAGCACATTTCACTGCTTGTTGCCCGCTCGGCTTTCTGTCTGTCTGTCTCTCTCTCTCTCTTCGTCTCTATTTTGCACAAATGATTGATTGCTGTGCACATTTTTTTTTCTACCCGCTCTGTTGTGCGTCGTTTAATCATCGGCTCTTTCCTGTTTCTTAAATGTGCCGTTTTAATCTGATTCTATAATTTACCATTTTAGGCTTATGTACGTTCCGTTTTGTCTGTATGGAACATCAAGTCCACGGTGTATTCAAATTGAACCAAGAGAAGAAAAAAACAAATGGAGAGCAGTAGCAACTAACAGAAATTATCAATATCCCGTCAAAGGAAGTGATTAAACTGTGCTGAATGCAGAAAATTGTGCTACAGCTGCACGGTGCATACACAAAAAAAAGAGATACATTTCTTTGTTTATTTGCGCGTGCATCGGATATTGGATATCGGATATCCATTCATTTGTCATCATTAACAGGTTTTTGTGATGACGATTTTTCTGCTTCTTCTTGCGTATTTTCTTTCAATGTACGTGCGAAATGGGCACAGTGTCATTGTGTGTCTTAGCGATTGACGAAACATGGACTCGTTGAAAAAATGATGGTTTTTGATCGACATAAATATTTTGACGATAATGCTTGGCGATAATGATTTTGACGATAATGATTTGAAAAGAATCGTTGCGTCAATGCGTTTGGATGGAATCACACAACGCTTCATCGTCCACATCGTACTGTGAGTATTGCAATGGATAGGTAAAAAAACGATAATTTTTACTGTTGCCTTAGAATAAAGACTTTTATTTTAAAGAATGAAGTCTTTTCAAATTTACACCATATAAACCGTAAGGTACATGAACACATATCATAATTTATGGGTGTAATATTAATGTTATTAAATACTTAGAGGTATAAGTAGTATGAACTGTTTGCTTTTGTAATGCTCCTGTACAAATGTCACGATTGATGGTCATGGTCATCATTTTGATGCAGAAGCTAAGAAACTATTGGCTTATACTCGATCGACATGATTGAAAGACGTATTTGAAACCATATTTCATTGTGGCAGTGTTTAATATTGGAATGGATAAGAGCCAATTGTGATGGGGAGATCGAGAGTGAGATTTTTGTACAACCCAAGCGTCAATGCTGTTATCTGTAAGAATAATTGTTTTTAACACCGATTTTAGTTACAAAATGTTTGAAAAAGATCAAAAACAAAAGTTGAACTTACGCGAATCAAATATGTGACTTTAATGGCCTTGCTCATCAAAATTTCGGTGGGTGGAGTTGGTGGTATAGCGACATCTAAATGAACAATCTTTTCTTCATTTCCGCTGCAACCATCGATTGTCATTAAAAACAGAGTTTTTTCTTCTTCTTCGTTGTATTTGGTTTTGAATCCGCAGGATTTGTATTCCACTGAGTAGGAGATCAACTAGAAGAATTGAATTGGTAATAGAACCATAGCGTTTATTTCAATGAAATATTCCAAAATGAAAATAAAAAAAAACTTACTTGAATCAATTCAGCACTGAATTTAGAAACTGCCACACTGCTTTGACTGTGTACATGGATTTCCAAATTGACCGTTTGACGTGGCAGAAATCCGCCTACCGGTGCTCGGGCGGTAATTGTGATAGTCTTTGGACTGAACAATCCGAAACAATCCACATCCTTTGTCTTCTCACCAATGAGTGGTTGCTGTAAAGAAATGTACAAATATCAAATAATTTGATTTGATCAAAAAATAAATGCGATAAAATGCATTACTCGTAACGATGGTAGGTCATTCAAATTGAGTGCCTTCATAAGAATGAATGGCTCCTTAAACACCTTATTCATCCATAGTGGCATATCGAGAACAACTCGAACAGTGTATTTGATTTGTCCAATTTTTCCTTCGATCGACGATGGCACGTTAGACGGCAAAATGAATTCAAATGTAAATTTGTATTTTCCTGCCTTGAGGCGGATTTTACCAGCTGATCCACGAGAACCAATAAAATACATTTTTTCATTGAAATATTCTTCTTTGACCTCTACATCATCACTATCCCAAGCTGCGAATGCTTTCCCTTTTATGCGAATGTACACACTACGAACAATGGTGTTCTTCGTCAAATTCAGTCGTACCGTGCCCCGCAACAACTTACCAGCATAAACGATTTTTCTTGGATTGTTTTCAAAATCGATTTCACAAGTGGCAGACATTTTTGTGTTTAGGATTTTCTGTTTGGGATTGGTTTTTCTGCTTCGATTTCTGATATTAGCTTTCTTATAAAAAAAAATCACTTTTGAAAAACGCTATGTTCTTTGACAAACACCAAAAGGGTAAGGCACTGGTTTAACAATTTCGAAAGGAGTTTAACTTGAATTTTTCTTTTCTATTTCAGATTGTTATTGAAGCATTCCGAAAAAAATCAGAATTTTTCATCGATTCAATACGAAATATTTTGTTCGTATTTATTTTCGATGGTGAAATTACTTTATTCAGATTTTGTCAAACGATATACTCAACGAACACCGATACAAATCGAATTCATTAAATCGATGTAGTTCATGTGCCTTTGTGTTTGCAAACAGCGTCGGGTGGCGTCACTTGACGTGTTTGTGTGAGTGAACCATACAATTCGACCGCTTGGTTCAAGTGACAGATGAAAAACGATTGTGCAAGGTTAGAACCACCGAGTACATTTTCATTCTGCGAACAAATCGAAAAAATTGTGTTGTGGCGACGATATTTTTGTGGCGTTCAATTTTCCATTCGATGACCGTAATTGTTTTGTCTCAAAACGGTTTGTATTCACGTTCATTAGAAATTTTCGCTCTTTTTCCATTCGACTGTCAACCAATTGAAAAGTGAATATGACCAATGGAATATTTATAACCTCACTTCAATTTCAGTTTGCCGAAACATCGACGCACAGTTGGAATGGCAGAGTCAAAGCCAAAACCCATGTTGATGCTAAACCCACGGCCACCGTCTCATTGGTCGTTGCTTGACGAACGAGCACTGGCAAAGATATTCCAGAATTTGAATCTGTACGACCTGTTGCAAATTGGTGAGATCGACGTGAATTACCAGCAAATCATCGGCGAGCACATCATATCGAAAGGTATACTGGACATCAGTGCAGTGAGCAAGCATTACAGCACTCATCATGCGTTCAAACAGCTTGGTGCATTTGCAACGGAATTGCGTGTCAAGGAAACGGACATTCAGTGGAAAAGCGATCAATACACACACATCGAGGAGATATTCCGATTGATCGACAAACGATGCACCGTTGGACGCCTCAAATCGATCGCAATCGCATTGGATAGACCAAAGGTAAGCCGTTTGGTTCACAACATACCCGATGCGTTCAAGGAAATCGAATCATTGGCCATCGATATGCGCATGGAAAAACATTTTGTGCGTCGTGATAAAGAGCAAATCAAACTAGTGCCCGTTGAAATCGATTTCGATGGTTTGGTGGAAATGTTGCTGTCTAATTGCCCAAATCTGCACTCATTGAAGTTGTCTGGCCAGCATAAAAACTGGAATTTTCTGCTGCATCCACAAGTTCAGACATTGCGATCATTGTCCTTCGACAATTGTTACATCTATTACCACATATGGACGGAATTCATCGAGGCTGGTGTTCGTCCCACAAAATGCTTGGAAATCATTGAATTGGAAATCTATGATGAGTATGACTACGAACAATCTTCATGGCAAGGTATCGATTACAATGCATTTGTACAGGAAGTTGCAAAAGTATTTCCAAATCTTGAAAAATTTAAATTTGAAATGTCTAAAGCTTATGATATTATGAGTTGGGTAGCATTACCGAATCTTAGAGCATTGAAGGAAGTCTTTGTCCGGAGTTATCATGAAAATGACCTCATTTCGTCCGTGACTAAAATGAACACAGTGGAGAAATTGAGTGCTTGTTTTGACTCCACATTATCTAACGAAATACAAACTCTTACGAATTTGCGTTGTGCTGAAATTATAAACCCTGATGAAAACCATTTTTCACTGTACAATGAACTGTTGCAGCTTCCACAGCTCAGCGAATTAGTTTTGATCGTCTATGGTCCCATCGACAAAACACTCATTTCGAAAATAGTTGAGTCGTTGCCTGTTCGATTGCACACACTGAGAATTTCAAACAAAACAAAAATCACTTCTGGGCTTTACAGTTCTCTAGTAAAGCTAAGACGAGCCAGTTTGCCCAATGCTCCACCACTTCATTTGCATGCTCGTTTTGATCCACTTAAACGATATTGCCCAAAAATAATCATTGCTTATAAGATCGATTAAAATTTGCAACGCGAACGTGTGATTGATTACTTGTTTTGTTTAATTTTTTTGCGTTTTGTTTAATCGACGTTGTTTCATTTTATCCATTTAAAATTGTAATCACAGTCTGCTAGCTTAGAAGCAACAGAACTGTTAAATGATTCAAAGTGATGTAGAATTATAATTGACACATGATCGTAAAATTTAATTCTTTTTTTTTGAGTTACTACCGAAAAAAATGAGAAATAATATCAGAGTTTGACTCAGGCGACAGATATATGCTTTAGCATAGATAAAATATCCGCATATTTTTTGCTTTTTCCACTCTCAGTATATAACGGCACCCAGATTCATCGAGTATCAGCACGCACACTGAACGTAGTGATATAGATTATAGAACGGTTTGTTTTCAAAGAAAAAAAATTGTTTATAAACAAAATCTTCCAGAGTTGTACAGCGCAATGTATTTAAACGGCAGCAATGCTGTCCTATATTAAGGTTTTGCGCTGTATAGTTCTGGTAGATTTTGTTTATAAACATTTTTTTTTCTTCGTAAACAAACCGCCCTATACTACCACGTTCAGTGTGCATGCTGATACTCGATGAAGCTGGGTGCCGTTTTATACTGAGAGTGGACAAACCAAAAAATATGCGGATATTTTTTCTATGCTAAAGCATATATCTGTCGCCTGAGTCAAACTCTGAATAATATTGAATTGCCTATAAATAAATAGGGCGGTCGCGTCGCTACTGTTGCCATTTTAGTTGTTTTTGGTTTTAGCTGCCACCCAATGAGAAAAACGCTTTTCTACACATAAAATAATTTCGATGGTTTGTTGGAAAATTTAATCTTCTGGCTCTAGAGAGCGACCGAAGTCAAATATAGATGTTTAAAAAACAAATAAAATGGAAAATGTGATAAAGTCAAGTGATTTGCAGACAAAAATATTGTATGATGAGGGGTAAAGTCAAGAGATAACAAAAACCAATTATTAAAATGAAATCCGAAAATAAATGTCAGAGTCATAGCATCAAAAGATCGGTTTTGTTATTGATGAATCATTTTTCAGGAATTTTCAAGGGAAATTGACCAATTTGTGACTGAACGCAAGGATATGATCGAGGTAAATGAATACTTTTGTATCTCATGAATTTGAAATGCATTTGAATTTCTGCTTGAATTCATCTTTTTCGGAAAAAGTAACGGCAAAATTTATGGAAACAAAAGAAGTAATGAAGAAATCTGTGGACTTATTCTTGAACGGTGGACAGCATTCGAAAAAGGCAAAAATAGTATTTTGCGGAACGCATATTGATTCATCATTGTCACATACATATAACCTTTCTCGAGCTCTAAAAAAAAAGGTCCAGTGTGAATTTGCCTCTCATTTTGTTACTTTGCCAACCAAATTCATCCAATTAAAAATGTGAATTCATGCTTTTGGGAAAAAAACGAAGTTGGCCAAAATAAATATTGCAATTTATGTCAATGAGTAGCTAAAATTGTTTTCAACAGGTTTTCATCACATGAAAAAAGCTGGTACAAAGCATTTGCCGGCACCTATCCAAATATAAAATAAATGGAAATCGTATTTTTGGTCGATTCACATTCAATCATTCGTTATCAATTTCTAACGATCTATCGTTATCTTGTTGCCATCGTTGATCATTAAAACACCGACAAATGCCGAGAAGAGAAAAGATATCGCTATCAAACGGTGACCGCGTATAATTTTTTTTTTTTCGTCTCAGATTGATAGCAATTGTAATCAGATCTGTGTTGATGCTTCTGTATAGCAAATCGTATGGATCTTGTGGCAATGACATATCTCGGTAAATGTACCGGTTATAAAATCAGCATTTCACACAAGCAAATTACACAAACGCCGGATCGGATCGGTATGGGTAAAAGAAGTGCGCAGCTACTGCCGCAACCGAAGGAATAGATAAGCATCGTGCTTATCTCGTCGTATCCAAAAGACAAATTCTTGAGAAAATTAAAAACGGAGAAAAGAATCGACCAAAATCACAGTTTGTCAAATTAATTATTTAGAATTTACATATTTTCTTTTCAACACGGCAATAAACTCGGGCAAACGGCAGTAAAAAACGTTACTGACTTCTAAATTGTTGTCTAATGTTGGATTTTTTATGTATGTCGTTCTTTTCCAATGACCCGTCATCACATACGAACAGTATATTAACAAGAATTGAAACGATCGAGTTTGAGTTCATAAAGTAAAGAAGGAAAGGGCCACCAAATGCGTATTTTCTTAGTGTGTGGAATGATAATTTTGGTGTATACCATGGATGATATCAAAGTACGCAACACACGTCTCCCTAAACGCATATTTTCACTACTGAAAAAGCTATAAAAAGTGTGTTTCTTGATTAATTCGTTCCCATGATTGGCTGTGAGCTCATCAAATCGCCGTGAGGTCGTAAAAATCGTTGGCAAATTCCAAGCAAATAAAAAGCCACACCATGACTCATTATATTCTATCTGCTCACATCTTTGGCATGTTTTTGTTTCAGTAGCCAATTCAGCTGTCACCGTAATTAATAAATTGATAAAGATTGAGATTGCACAGAGATTTTGTTGAAATGTAAATTGCTCACGATGTTCGTCGTTGTCGTTGTCGTTGTCATGGTATAACGGCCAAAATTAAATGACCTATTTGTTATCACAGCCTCTTTTTGGCTCCTTCATTTTAATTGGATTTTATCCTTAAAACAAAAACAAAATAAAACATTTCCAAAATTTCATGTTTTCTCCCAAGAATGTACCTGATTGATGATTTATACCCATCTAATTAACTGTAATCCACCAAAAAAGAAAGAAATTATCCATTTTATGAGCATTTTGTTCTCTTTCTTTGCGCGCTCTTTTCTTCATTCCAACATTTTCATGCTGTATACAATGGTACAGCAGATCCTGTGGTTTCCGAATAAAACAGCCTCATTGTTGTTAAATGATACGTAAATATGGATTACGTGTGAGGACAAAACCGAAACAAGTGCATGTTGTGTTTTTGATTACGATACATGGCTCCTTACCATACGGAAATGGACAGAGAAAAAAAAGACGAACAACATGGGATTATGAGTTCATCTTAAATCTCAACTAGTTTAACACGCGTACATAAATACAACAAGTGCACTACCGAGAATTTTGTGTCGTTTTATTTACGTAATTTATTTTCCGTTTTATTTTGGTGATAGCGTGATTGTTTGTTTCTGTAAATGTTATAACTGAGGAGGCATGGAAAGGAAAGACCGAAAACACGACATTTGTACGATGATGAATGGCTGAGAACCGAGAACAAGTGTGTTTTGGACCTTTTTTATTGACGCTAATTGGATTACGTGATCTGAATGCAAAATTCAACTGAAGCAGCCACTGCTTGACAAATTCAACGCAAACGATTGCTGGGCGTTTCGATGAACGTTTAAGGTGTTGAATGCCCTTATCAAATGGTTTTGATTTGTTCCAGATCATAGACCATTCCGTATCACTTCATAGTTTCTCTATAAATTACCGTTATTTCTTATTCAACGTTTGTTGAGCAGCAAGATCTTCGGTCCGAATCACACCTTCGCCGAAATGTGTAATATGAGAACCCAAGGCGGAGTGCCGACGGTGAAATGCCGAGTGACGTAAGTAAATCAATCGAAGCCGGTAGCATTATATCAAACTAATAGGCAACACCAAATGAAGCATAAGCCCGTAAATGACAAATGATGGACGAAGACCAAACTGTTGTGATTTAGAACTCTCTCTTTCGCTTGAACTAGAAAATTCAAACGTTACATTTTTTATGGGGCCGATCGGAATTGAAAACAGAACCAAAACGATTTAATCATTTGATACTTTTTACGATCAGAGATTAACAAGAATTGGTTTGATGTGTGCGTGTGTGTGTGTGTATGTCACTGAGCTATGCTATACACAGCACACATCAACGCCACTCACATTTCAGTCCAACATATAAATGTGTTAACACGAAGAAGCGAAAAAGACAAAGCCACACCAATAAATTTAAGGTAAAACCTATAAATTAATTTAAAACGACATCGAAACGAGCTCATAAATGATGAAAAAAAAAACCAACAAACCAGAGAGAGAAAAGTGAGAGACAAGCAAAGCAGGAGGCAAACAGCGCGAGCGAATTATTAATCGACCATCAAAATAAATGGACATGAAGTCAATTTAACGACACAAAACAAGCGCTATGCGTGCGCTTTGCTCATTTTATACATATGTTAATTATTATTTTCAATTTGAATTTAGCAGTTTTGTTTCAGTTTTATTTTTGGTTAATGAATTTATTGGTTTTGTATGGTTTTGTTTTTCGGCCACGTGGAAAAAAAAGTAGCCGAAAACCGAAAAAACTACTACAATGTTATGTATTGTTGACAATTGTGAGACATTTTTCGGTCGGTAACGATTTTGCACATAATTGTAATTTGTCTTCGTTAATCACTTGTGTGTTGTGTACGGTTTGGCTACTTGAAGAAAACGTGTCCATTTGATGTGGATTTATGGGGATTTGTCTTCAACAAACGAACGAACGAACAGATAAAAGATCAAGAATATCAAAGTTTCTGTTTTTTTCGGTGTTTTTCCTTTTGCGTAACCCGAAAAAAAAAATACTCACAAATTATCTGTACACACATTGCATTGGTTCAACACAACAACAACAACCGAAAAAAAAACAGAACACAACAAGTTGAGTGACAAATTCTCAACAGTGTTCAATGTAAGCGTGTGTCCCCTTCACTATTTTGTCCATCCCATAGACATTTCCATGCGTTTGAAGCGACAGCAGTAGCATCGAACGCGGAAAAAGTCTCTGATTTGGTTTTAAACGACAAAAATAAGACTCTCCCCAAACAACAGTGTTGAACTGAAGCTCACATTTTTTTCCCTCTTTTTGCATAATTACATTTTTGATTATGCCGATTTGGTTGCTGGGTGCCTTTTTCTTTCTTCACCTCTCTCGTTTCATATATGTGTTTCTTAAATTGCGGTACGTTTGGCGTTGTCACCCATTTTATGGAGATAAATTTTGAGATTTCGGTAAATTTCAGATGAATTTGAATGTATATCGCACACAACGTAATGGTTCATTTTTCCTCGTCACAGACTGTGGCCACTAAAAGAAACTAAGTAATGTAATGGCATTTTATTAGTTGGTATGTGTTTTTTTCTCTTAATTTGTTGGACATTCGCTATGTGTGTTTGTTTTTATTGTTATTATTTTTGTATTTTTTTATTACTGATACTATTAATATATATACGAATTTACCTGGAATCTGGAGAGCGCAATATGCATACCGTTTTAGATATATGTCAAAATGGACGAGCCTGAACACTATGGCTTGATCTTTTTCTTTTCGGTGGCTCAACTCGTTTGCCCAATGCCCATTAACCACAGAATCGCTTTGAAGTTAATAAATTAAATTGTATTTAATTGTTTTTGGTCGGATGAGAGACGGGCTTGTGACAACAGGTTGAAGGTAATTTTTCTGTTGCAGTAATAAAAAGACATAATTGTCGGGCGGCCTCTTCTCTGTGTATGTTATACAAATGCCGCTGTAGTAATTCGGTGATCTCTTGAGAGCTATTCAACAGTTACCCCGATCAACAGCTTCACATCTCATACCTTACCTTAGGCACATCTCATGAGCCTTTCAAACACATTTTTCTCACTGTATTTTTATCTAGGCGTCTTGCAGTTGTAAAATGAAGTAAATCGTGAGTGAAGAAATACGTTGAATTTACGGAAAAAAACAACCATTGCCCCATTTCAAATCAAATGCTCCCATTTTAAACGAGCACTTTTGAAGCTTTGGTTCACATTCGGATTCTTTTCATTTTCGACTAAGAGAATTATTTTCGTCTTTACATGTTACGCTTCCATTTAATCTTTAAGCTCACCGAGATATGAAATCATAATTGAAATAATTGCATGAAATGCACAAGGATTTCAGATCAACGCGATATTATTAAGACGATTTTTATTTAATCTATTAATTGCTCCGGTTGCAATATTCAATTCACGCACAATTGCACTGTGCACACAAAAAAAAAAAATGATCGTACATAGTCGGTTGGTAGCGGTGGTTTTGTGCGAATAACAGTGACGAGGAATTTAATTGCACAATCTTTAAAGCCACTCGGTTTACATTGCATTGGTGATGATGGCGTTCTGCTTAATCCGTTTATTTATTTATTTTTTAAATGCAATCGCTGTGAATGTGGCATTTTCGACTGAACTAAGAATGAAACAGCCTGAAATACTTTGTATAGGTTGGTGCTATTAATTTGTACCAAGCCATCATTATTACATTTAAAAAAAAACGTTTGTCTATGAAACGACGACGAGAGACTCGAGATGCGCCCAATGCTGCGCGTTGCGACTGCAGAAATGCCTTAAAACGATTTCGATCTTAGATAACATCGTGTAAAATGTGAACAGTAAAACATTTAAGTAAGACAAACGGCCGTAGTACGGGAGAGATGATCTTCTTTTGATGTGCCATTTTTTATGGGCGCAAGCAGATACAGTCTCATCAAAACCCAACTCGCCATCCGAATGATTCTTTTTCTTGAAAACCAGATTTAGTACGCTTTAAAGTGATAAATGTCGCATTACTATCGCAAAATCCATGCACCGAAAATTACCTCAAACCGCAATTAACTGCATTCTTTTTTCTGCATCTGCGATGAATTATGTTTTCATCACCAATTAAAAGCACATTCCAAACACAACGGAGAAGAACAAAAAATATTGACATTTTCACAAAACTATGACATAACCCAATCTATAGCTTGTCTCCCTTACCATCATTTTAACTATTTCGCAGTTGTTGTGATCGCTTCATTTGTTGTGAGAAGTAGGAAAGCAATTTCTCCATGAGATAGATTCTTTTGACGAATTCATATCTATATCTATGGGTAAAAACGCAAAAATAGTACACATGACTGTTTCACATACAACTCGATATCATAATGTTCCCTCAGAAAAATTTGAATGAAAAATATCCGGACGCTTTCGAAAATAAAAGAAATCGTTGTCTTTTAACCGCTGTAAAAGTTCAGTGGTAACACCAAATCAGGGTGGTTTTGCTTTATTGCATAATGTACGTACAGAGAAGCTCTAACATTACTTAGTGCCATCCTCTGTAAAATTGAAGAAAAAAAACATTTTCATAAATCATCATCGATTTAAATCGAGAAAGGTATAAAATTAATGGCACACATTGATTGTATATGGTCATATGGCCATTTCGCCCACAGCCTTTATTAACGGCATAAATCTGCCCTAAACATATATTTAAATTTAAATCATTCACGCAAATCAATTTACGTTTTTGTTCAAAAACCACGTCAAACAATCAAATGGGTTGGTTGTGACACAGTTTCGATTATGTTAAAATTTATTAACATTTCAACGAATTTTCAGAAGAAAAAAAATTGAATAAACAAAGCTCTACACCTGGTAACATGATATCGTGTCAAACGCATAAGCCGCCAATCTCCAAAACCCCATGTAAAAATCAATAATTCTTTGTCAAAATCAATAATGTTCAAATTTTTACACAATTTTATGTAATCAATCCAAAAAGTCAACTCTTTGTTGTCATGAGATTAACTTCCGGCGCTCAATTTAATTTGGTATAATATCGCATGAAAATGGAAATATCAGCAATCAAATGCAATAAAAAAAACACTCGATAGACAGAATATTTCGATCGATACATCTAATTTGATCACCGAAAAAACATAAAAAAAAATCTCAATTTATATATTAAAATATCGAACATTCTAAGCTCATTTCTTTTATGTCTTGCTCATAGCGTTCGTCGAATCAAAAATGGAATTTTTTCTATCGAATTAAAAAAAGAGAGAGAAAAAACACAGTCATAACATGTCCATATTTCAAAGATAAACATCAGCTCTGAAAAAGCAATATTCAAATAAATGCGTCTAAAGGCGATAAAAATGGAATTTGAGCTTGAGACGACGATGGTGATGATGATGACGATGACGATGAACAGAAAATAAGTAATCTTTGCTGAAATCGATATAATGGAACTGGCCAAACAAACCACAGCAGATGACATCTCGATTTGACTGTATTTAGACGCGACGACGACAACGACGACGACGACGACGGCTAAGAGTAATGGTATGTGCAGAAAATATGAAACAAGTATCATCAAATCCAAAACAACACAAAAGACAAACGAAAATGACGTTCCGCACCTAGCCAAATCGAGTCGAGTCAAGTCGTGCGCTATTCCAATATTCTCAAGCAAGATAAGCGTCAATAAAAATTGTCACCTTTTGCAAAATTTATCTTTAATTAAATTATTTTTATGATATGATTATTCAGTGAGGTTTGGTACGGCTGTAAGGCGAGTTGTATGTTGTTTTTTTGGCTTTGGACTTAGTTTGGCATATTGCTAGCGCGCGCAACACTGGGCTGACGTCGATGACGATTATTGTTATTCTGCATTTGGGGAATTTGGTTTTAAAATTCACGGTAAATCTTCGGTAAGAGGCTGCCCACTCAAAAAAAAACATCAGAAAGTTACCTATATATTGCTTATGGGTTAACGCAAATATATGGTTCATATAAGCAATTCTATTAAAATGCGATCGATTGGGACCACTCAAGCGGTTGGCACATTAAAATGCCATCACCGCAGACGTACATACACGTAAATGTACATATTTAAGTGCGCGCACGCCACATGAACCGGCGATCACACTGCTGCTGCTGCTGCTGCATTAACCGCCAATACACATTTTTGTCAACGAAATCGATGGGCAAATGTTCCGATGCACGCATGGAACCGAAGTTAAAAAACGATCTTTATTATTATCATAACAATAAACAAACCAATGATTATCGACTTTAATAAAATTCCAATAAAATGCGGATGAAGCGACACAGCGACCCAAAGATCATCGTGCTCACTCTGTGTCTCTCTCACATGCTCGAATCATGTAAAATATATATAACAACACCAAAAATGTATTGTAATGGAAAAGAGACGGACAAACGACTGAACACGATCGATCGAGTCAACCAAGAGAGGAAGAGAAAAAACACATTCATTGAAAATGAAAAAATTTATGGCGCAAAAAATATTAATATTAAATGAAAACAAACTAACGACAACGGCGACGATGACCAAAAAAACAAATGTGGTATGTGGATATACTTGCCACACGCAAATGTCCGAATAACGAAACTGTGCTTAAAATTCTCTGTGTAGACACTGATGTCCCTCACTCACCCTCTCTCTGTGGTTTGTATCGATCGATATACGTATTAAAGCCGAAAAAGACATAAAATCGATGTTAAATGAATGAAGAAAGCCAAAAACAGAATCCGCCAACAAAAACATTGACAAACCGACACATTTTGAAGAAGAGACGAGGAAAAAAAAACATACTACGATCGATAAATTATTAGGTGTTGTACAAATGTGGCGTGAATCGACCGCAAAAGAGTGGAAATCAATAATAGGTGAACACTGAACACACAACGAACAATATCACAATAAAAATCGAAGAATATCGATGGATGCGCTGGCGCGAGCGCACGCACGACGCACGGCATGGTGCGCAAATTGTTTGCTCACCGACCGACCGATTCAAAAGTGACCGAATATCACTTTTGAATGCATGGTCCCATCATACCAAATAAAACACGATATATTGATTCGGCGGAGAATTGAGGTGGAACGAGGCACATGAAAAGAAGAAGTGTAGACGAGAGGAAGACGACAGAATAAAGTGAATATTGCTCATTTTGATGTTGCTGTTTTTTGGGAGTGTTTACATTGTGGATTCCTTTTGACCGGTCTTTTGTGTAAATTTGTTGGTTTCATTTGGGTAATTTATGATCGTTATTAGAATCGATAATCGGAAACACACCATAAATTATGTATAATTTCAAACAATTCATGCATTCGATCAAGGCATTTGTTCCACCTTCTTTTTGAGGTCGGAAATGGTATATCGCACACATGAACCGTGCGATATGAGACAAGTATTTGCATCCTTTTTCTTAGAAACGCTAATCAAATAGAATTTAAATCAATCAAATGCACAATGTAAAATCTCAAATGGACTAGTAAACTGAAATTCAGTTCCCAGCTGAACAAAGAATGAGAGAAAAAAAAATATCTGATTTTGTCGCAATCAAGTTTAATTCATAGCGAGCCAGTCATTTGATGACGAGAAATCAGTAAATCTCGGCCAACAAATTGATTCGCGGTATTGCGCACCTGCGGTCGTATATGAAACCAAATACGCACGGCTGTATCCAGATAAATAGCAAGTGACACGAAGAACTGCCTCCAAGTTGTGATTTTGGTGATCTTCAGGTAAATTGATATCGCCAGTTGGATATGTTCAACGAACGTACACAAAGAGATAGATAAAGAGACATAGAGAGAATGGATAAACGCCACCGACCGTAACTCACACTCACTCGCACACATTTAAATACAGCCTATTAAAATTCGTCCCCATCAGCTTTCAGAAAGGCGCTGCTGCGTATATGACCGTTAATATCTTGGCTGTATCATTTTGTCACTCGTACATTGCGAACACCTCAACCTGATCGCGGCGATGGTGTGGGTAAGATAGAGACAACGAGAGAGCATAGCACAGAAGAAAACAAACAACAAAATCGTCGAGAAATCACACAACATCTCGTTCTCTCTCTCCCTCTCTCTTTGGGTCTCTGCACCGCATATCACACGAGATGAGATGATCATCGAACAGCGATTTAGTTTATAACTTGATGGTCACATATCGAGTTAAGTCATTTCACATTTTACCGTCGCCCGTGCACAACGTGCGTTGATGATCGCGAGGTCTGCGATTCGAGAGTGTAATTTGTTCGGCGATCGATCCATGTAAATCGCCCTAATAGCCGAAGTAAAGTAAGCAAGTAATTGTTAACGACGTTAAATGCCATCAATTAGAACGGCTCCTGCAGTGTCAATCATTCGGTTGTTGCAGTAAAAAACGCAATTGTGTATTGATAAGTGCCAAAAGGAAAATATTCAGTGTGTATGGAAAGGTCTTTATAAAGTATGATCCAAGCAAATGTGTGACTAAACCGGGAGAAGGAAAAAAAACAAGCAAATCGGCCTATAAATGTGTGTTTGGTGCGATTCGAAGATGGGATTCAAACGTGTAATGTTGAATCGTTTGCAAATTGGAAGTGAAAATAAGACATTGATAGCCGAAATGGATGAAAACAATGATGGAAATAACGACGGCAATCGCAAACACACGGACTTTAGCATTGATAAAATCCTCAGCGACGATTCGTCGGCAAAAAGTTCACCAACAAATTTTACAGCCACTACCGCTGCCGTCGATCGACTGTATCAAAAAGTTAGCAATGATTATGCCTACTGGAATTGGAATCGTCGCATTTACCCACCGCCCATTTCAATGGTGCATCCACGCCGTTCTGCATTTCTACCAACCGCGTCGACTGTTACATCGGCCACCGCTCATTATGAAATCATGAATTTGTCACTACGAATGTACGACCAACAAATCAATTTGAGCAACGTTGATCGCATTCGCAATACATACGCATGGGCCATGCCATCGTCACCATCGAAACTCTACGAGTCTCAAGCTGCATTTCTCAGCAATTTGAATAATAACAACAACAACAACAGTAGCCACCGTGCAAATAACAACATTACTAGCCTAAGTGAAGCGAACGCAATGCAATGCAGCAGCAGTAAATTTGCAATTTACCAAAATCTCAAAACCTATGGCATCGACCTAACGAATTTAAGTGAATTAAATGCACAAGTGAACTCAAACACAGCAACCACAATCAAATCCGAACCGTTAACGCTCGAAAATTGTGGCGCTCCCAATTTGGCAAATTTAGCATGCTCCGTGTGCAACAAAGTATTCGAAAATCCACTTATTTTAGATGCACACGAACGGACACACAAATCACCACGTTACACATGTGATGAATGTGGCAAAGGATTTTCCCAGTTACGTAACTATAAATACCATGTGTCCGTGCACAAAGGTACAAAGGAATTCGCTGCCAAATGCCCCGAATGCGATAAACTCTTCAATGACAAAGGCTATCTGAGTAGTCACTTGAAAATTCATCGCAATAAAAAGGAGTACGTTTGTCCGAGTTGCCCGAAATCATTTAACCAAAGAGTCGCATTCAATATGCATGTTCGAATGTAAGTAGATGTTCAAGGCTATTTTTTTTCTGGCGTTTGCATTTGCCCAATAAAATACGGTATGATTGATCGTAATTCTTTCTTTCTGGGCAGACATAGTGGAGTCAAGCCACACAAATGCGTTGAATGTGGAAAATCATTCTCTCGGAAAATGCTATTGAAGCAACACTTGAGAACACATAGGTAAAATTCGATTTGCGATTTTATTTCGAGCATAACAATAATTTTTTTTCTCTTGTGCTTTCGTCTACAGTGGTGAAAAACCTTATCAATGCTCAATATGCTTGAAATCCTTCGCAGATCGATCCAATATGACGGTGAGTGTGTGGCTTTTTTTTATTGCCATTTTTATCTTCGTGTAATATGCATTTTTATCGTTGAATGATTCACTTTTCAATAAAAAAATTTAATAATTCTGCTTTTTTTTAACAGCTCCACCAGAGGTTACACAGTGGTATAAAGCCATTTGCGTGCACCATTTGCCCGAAAGCATTCACAAAAAAGCATCATTTAAAGGTATATAATCAAAATAATTTACCCATTGCAATGATGGGTTGTTTTTTTTTTGTTGTCGCCAAATCTAATTGATTTTTTTTTGTGTTCTTTTCCTATAGACTCATCTCAACTACCACATTGGTTGTAAACCATACATTTGTCCACATCCGAACTGTGGCAAATCATTCACTCAATCCAGCAATATGCGAACACATTCACGCAAATGTGAATTCAAACCACCCGAACAACAATAGCTTATAGCATTAGAATAATAAACCAGTTTCGTCTAGGTAGAATAATTTATTTTATTTTTTCTTTTATATAAAACGTGAAACCTCATTCTGATTTTACCGCATATTTATTTCAAATTAAGGAAATAATCAATTGTAAACAATGATCTAGATTAAATTATGTGTGAACTTTAAATGCGACGTCTTTTGATAAGATATACAATCAATCTTTTTTGCGTTTATCAAGACTCTATTTTTAGGATATTTGTTTGACTTATTCGGTAGTTATCGGTTTGATTGCGAGATAAAGACCATCTTTGGGCGATAAGACAATCGGACTGGATGAAAACACCATCGGAATCAATGTTTTTTCGCAAGGTGAAAATTCGAATTTAGTTAGTAAGGTGATTAACCCGATACGCGTTTGCATCATGCCAAAACGAAGTGCAATACAATTTCGAGGACCTTCACCAAATGCCAACCAAGCCATTGGATGACGATTCTTTACTTGCTCCGGAGTGAATCTTTCTGGTGAGAATTTTTCTGGCTCCGGGAATAGTTCGGGATCACGTTGAATGGCGTACACGGGCACCACGACCGATACACCTTTTTCAATCACTATATTCGTGCCTGGAACTTTGAAATCATTTTGAGCCATACGTCGTAGCGTTGTAAATGGAGGGTATTTACGCAGTGTTTCTGAAAAATTAATTGATGTTTAAAACAAAATTATTTTTGAGAGAGATAAAAACTCTCAATCACTGAAATTATCCAACAAAAGACTTTTTATGCTTATTGAAAAGAGCAATTGTTTCCATTAAAGTCTTCATGAAGAGTTAAGTCATACCTTGAATCGTTTGATCGAGATACGGAATATCCATCATCATCTCGTAGCTAAAATTGCCGTGTTTCTTCAGTGCATTTTGAATTTCCCGGCGTAATTTCGATTGAACTTCCTGATTCAAAGCCAGTTCATAAAGAGCGAAGAGCATCGTTGTTGATGATGTTTCATATCCAGCGACAAAGAATAAAAACGACTGTGCTGCGATTTGATTGACGGTCAGTCCTTTGGTAAAATCACCTTGACTGTCTTCATTTTTCAATTTTATCAGCAAATCCATGAAATCATTTCGTTGAATGTTATTTTTTTCACGATAATCAATAGTACTTATGGTAACACCCATAAAAAAGGCCGTCACATCATCTCGTATGGTTTTTATCCTCAAAAACCGTGCCAACCTCTTGAAGTCATTGAGTAAAAATGCGATACGTTGATTGTGTCTTGGCTTTTGTATTGCCATCCGGCCCATTCGATAGAAATCATTATCGATATCTTTCAGTGTGTCACATTCAATCCCAAATGCACACGTACCAATAACGTCCATGGTGAATCGAGCTAGAATATTCTTCATTTCCAATTCGCTGCTCTCTTTGATTGTTTCATTTAAATAATTCGTAAGGCGATCACCAACAGCAGTAATTGTTGGAAACATATATTTCATTTTACTCGACGAAAATGTTGATGTCAATTTTTGGCGAACGTTCTTCCACTTTACACCGTCTAATGCCACAAGATGACCCGAGAGCGGATCATCTTTGTCATTGTAATAGAAACTACGATCACTGAATTTGGCAAATTCTTTGACTAAAATAGTTTTGATCAAATCCAAATCCAATAGCAATGCAATGGGTCGTGTGAAGAAGTACAATCCACACAGTTTTGATGTTCCTCTGAACTTCATGTAGTAGTTCTGCGTGAAATGAACGAAACTCACGGTTTTACCTAGGCCTTTCATACTGCCGTGCGGTATTGTTGGCTTATTATGTGGAACTCCTCTCGATGACCAGTATGAAAACGATCTTTTGATGTACCAGTAAATCAGTGAAATTAACACTATCAGCACTGCAAGTAAAGAATTTAACACCGTCATCGCGTTTCCTGTTTTTTTTACGAACAGTTTTCAATTCAATATATTGAAAATTGAAGCTCTTAGTTTAAAAAGATGTTCTTTTCAACACAAAGTCTGAAATTATACTGAATATGACAGTTTGTTAAATGAATACTGCTTATCATATGTAAACACAATTGACGCTAATAAACATCAATTGGAAGTGTATGATAAAGATGTACATGCGCAGGCGCACTGTATGCTGTATGTAGGCCATAAATTTCCAGAGTTATATCTGTCAAACTGCTAGCACCATCTGCAGTTCTTTGTATGGAATGAAAATTAACTGAATTCGTTACCCATACTAACATAAAGTTAGTTGTTTATTTGAACGTGCATTCAATTCTTACGACGCGCTAGAAAAACGTTCAGTGAATATTCTTCATTCAGTTTTTTCGTTCTCTGCGGTGGCAAAGAATCGAATTTAGGAATCGTTTTTTTATGATCAGAAAGTATTTACCTTCGAGTTCTAAAAACCAATATTCACTTTTTAGCAATATCTGAAGCTCTCAGCTCATGTCATTATTTATTTCATGATTTCTGACACCAGTATTAATTACTTTGAACAGAATATTCCCACAATTATCTGCTTTGTAGATCACAAGTGCAGTCAGTATGATTTGCGAAATAATAATGAAACCTTTCAAAATATGCAACATTTGGTGTACTATCCAGTCAATATCATAAAAATATGTAAAAAGGATTCGATTGTTCGGTTTGTGTGACTTTGAGTTTTGCGGAGACGAATGAAACTATATCCCATATGTTAAATGAAGTCAACTTCAGGCTCAAGAATTCCCTAAAACTGAACATTTCTAAGCTCGCCATTAGGCAATTGGTGTTAGAAATAAATCAACGATAGATCAAAATGAACAAACGTCAACATGATGTGAAATCGACGAGAAATCGAAGCAACTGGAATGCAAACGACAATCAATCGAAATGAAACTGCAATTGCTGTGGATGTTCAAAACGAAAAGTCGCCGCTAGCCATTCTTAAGTTGAATGCCTTTTTCTGTGACGGCCCATTTGATTGGCTCAAAGAACGTAAAATGTTACCTTGAGCTTGCAAAAGTCACAATTTATGTCAAAGAAACTGTTTGCATGGAAACAAAAAACAAATATTAATAGGTCAATCATTAAAACCTCTTCATACCTTTCTTGGTGAGTTGTAAACAAATATTACAATATTATAATTATGATTTGTTCAAAAAGGAAGTAAGTTTAATTTTACTTCAGTTTAAATAGTTCGAATGAAAATGTATCCCTGTGTAAAAAGAGCTTTAAATATAAAGAAAAAACCCACATTCCAACTACAGTATTCCTGAACGAAAATCCATTCAATACCTGTGAAAATGTTTCTATAATTGTGTAATGGCATATTTTGAATTTATTCCTAAAAAAGAAAACTGAATTAATCTTTGAAAATCCAGTAATTCCTTTGCACGTTACATTTATGTGTATCAGATTTCAAATCGAGTTGCACTATAGTTCAAGAGATGGCGTTAGCAATCGTTGCAAGACATTTATCAATGTTTTTTTTTTATCTGAATCGAATCAGTTTGAGATTGAGTGACGTTTGTATCAGTCCACAATGAAATATTTCGGATCCTACGACCAAAAAATTGACTAGAAATGAACGTCAGAATCCACGAGTGATTTTCGTGTGAGAATCAAAATAACTATCACCGATTCATTGAGTTTATTCTCAACCGTTGAGGTAAGTTGAACAGAGAATTCACTTAATAAATCACCACTCAGTTGACAGCTACGCTGACAGTTGTGTTCTTTTCGTCTCTCGTCTTTGTTTACATTATTTTATCGTTTTTAAATAGTTATCCACATTGTTTTGTCACAAATTTTATATCATTCTATTCGTAAAGACTTGCTGTATCGTAATATTATAAAGTTCATTCGTGTCAACACAATTTCGCCTATTTTTTTCTGTGATAATTTGTGCACATTTTTGGTTACGTCGCTCTCGTTGTTCACGTCGTTTTCCTGTGTTATTGTTGTTGTTTTTCATAACCATAAAATGGCCCAATGTGCGTTGTGTGTGAAACCGGTTGCCAGTGACAAAAGCATTTCATGCTATGGCTTGTGCGGCAATTCATTTCATTTTGCGTGCCTAAATAAAAACGATTCCACCACTGTTTTCAACAAAACTCTGACAAACTTTATGGCGAAAATTACCGGCTTACAGTGGTATTGTGGCAGTTGTCAGCCGCACACACTGGGTGGCATAGTAAACAATTTCAACGAGTGTTCAAGTTTTATTGCGGACCTTAAACGCTCGCTCGTGCCTCTCATTGACAAAGTGTTGTGCGCTGACCTACCGCAAAAAAGTGCAAGCAACCAAAATGAGCATAATACCAGTGCTGCCGAAGTGATTGAAATCGAGGCAAATCGGTTTTTGCATGTGATTGGCAATGCCAATGACGCCGTACACACTGAGAATGTTGTGATCGATGAAACGTCAGCGGAACCGATGGACGTTAGTGAAAAAAACGATGACTTGGACATTACAGTCGTCCCAAATGCCGAATCAGATGCTGCTACATCGAGTGTATATTTTGACACTCCACGTCCGGACCAAAAACACGTTAAGCGTAGAATTGGTTGCTTAATCAACGAAACGGTTAAACGTACGTGCATCACATCATCCGACGATCCAGGTATGTCGCGCGTTGATAACGCTGTTGATGAAACTGTCTCGACACCATCAGTTCATCAAAATGTAATGAATTTACGCAATTTGGTTCACGCTCCGGCTCGCAAACCGACGATGAAAAATGCCACACGCGTTCAAGCCAGCAATTTACACGCCAAAGCGGTACCGTTACCACAGGTCAGCAATTTACACAAGAAAATTGTTCCATCAGTTCTACTGTCATCCAAACTGACGAAGAGCGTTCACATTTCACGCTTTTCAAATGACACCACCTGTGATGATATTTTGAGTCATTTGCGCTCCATTGACTCCACATCCAACATTGTCAATGAGATTCAATGCAAAAGATTGACAAGTGGTGGCCGGCCAATTTCAAGCTACAAATTCATAACGTTCAAACTGACCTTTCCTCGTCAATATTTTGAACGTGTTATTAATCCGTCGATATGGCCAAGTTCAGTTAAGGCCTGTGAATTTGTGGACAAACCGAAACCTCCCTCGTCCACCAGTGCACCGCATGTCAATTCAAACCGGCTGTCAAAAAACGGGATGCACCCAAATGGCCACATAAACAGGGTCAGAAACCATCCTCAGCCAATGTACGCCTATACACAGGCACTGACGACACCGAGTGTGAACCATTGGTTCAATCCATTTGCTCAGCGCCCAAGCCACTACCGCGCAGCAAACTCCGAGCAACAGCAAAACCGTTTCGCCCATCGCGTGGGCAACAGACGATTCCGTTAAACCCCAAGCTGCACACACCCGACGCGACACGCATCAGTGTCTATTACCAAAACATTCGCAGCTTGGGTAACAAACAGGATGAATTTTTCCACAAATGTGCTGCTTTCGGTTTTGACATAGTCATCTTGACTGAAACCTGGCTCAAACATAGCCACCGTAATGCCGAATTCTTCGATAGCACATACGACGTCTACCGCAAAGACAGATTATTTAGACGAGGTGGAGGTGTTCTCATTGCGCTCAACAATAAAGTCTTCTCTACTGAAGAAATTAAATTTGACAACGTGGACGTTGAGCACGTATGCATAAAAGCGAGCCTGCCAACACACAACATTTTCATTTACAATGCATACATTCCACCGAATTCATCCAGTGAAATCTACGCTTTGCATCGTTCAGCCATTGAATCACTCACGACAAGTGCCGATGATGTTGTAATAGTTGTTGGCGATTTTAATTTGACAAACGTTGAGTGGATAAATGACGATGAGGAAAGCAATGTGCTGGTTCCCTCAAATTTCCACTCCCAATGTGCTGCTGATTTCATCACAGTTTTGATGGGCCTGGGCCTCCAGCAAATCAATTCAATAAGAAATCGGAACCTCAAACTGTTGGACCTATTTTTTACTAACGACCATGCCAACACAACAGTGAGCGATGCTACTAAACTGTCATTGACGGATAAAATCGATATTCACCACCCTCCTTTGTTGATTGAATTTGAATGGCATCCGATTAACAATGGTTCGGAAAACCAGAATAGCACGCATTTAAATTTCAAACGGGCTGATTTTCAGCGCATGAACGAATATTTTGCTGCCGTCAATTTCGATGACTTATTCGCAAACAAATCACTTGCGGAGAAGGTGTCATCCCTTCATGACGTGTTAGCGAAAGCTATTCAGTGTACGGTTCCAACGTATGTCCGCAAGAACAACCAAAAATGCCCATGGAAAAACAATGAACTTCGGCATCTCAAGAATTTAAGGAAAAAGGCCTGGGATTACTGGAAGCTGACAAATGACAAACAGCCATTTGAAGAATTGCACGAGGAATACAGTGCAAAAAATACCGAGCTTTACAATCAGTATGTCGACAAAATGAAATCAAACTTGAAAAGTGATCCATCTTCGTTTTGGCAATATGTTAACTCCAAAAAGAGCACTGATAACATACCGAAAACCATGCGATTCGGCGACTCCAAGACAACCAGCGAATCGGAGCAAGCAAATTTATTTGCTGACTTCTTCGGGAGCAACTACTCCACTTCTACGACAACAAATAATCAACCGTCACCTCAGTCTGAGAACACCTCTTGTTTCCAGCTTGACCTAGACTTTGTCATGACTGAAATGACGAAGGTCAACACCAAGAAAGGTGTAGGACCCGACGGTATTCATCCTTTAATTTTGAAGGAGTGTGCTCCGACGCTTGCTAGCCCGTTGACTAAGATCTTCAATGAGTCGCTTTTATCTGGCATTTTTCCCGACGAGTGGAAACGATCGAGTGTATCAGCCATATTCAAAAAGGGCGCCAGATCGGACATTGAAAACTACAGCTGCATAGCAAAATTACCAACGATCGCTAAATTCTTCGAGCACCTCGTCAACGTAAATTTGCTTGAAACTGTTCGTGATCGCATCTCGCCTAACCAACATGGCTTTATGAAAGGACGATCTACAGCATCAAACCTAACCGAGTTTGTGTACTACGCCCAGAGTGGCCTGAACATGGGAGCTCAAGTTGATGTCCTGTACACGGACTTTACGAAAGCCTTCGATCGAGTTGATCACAGCATTTTGATTCAAAAATTGAGGTCATTCAATCTACCTCAAAATTTGCTGTCATGGCTTAAGTCGTACCTGGAAAATCGCGTTCAATTCGTCAAGCATGGAGCAAGTGAGTCGGACGATTTTACAGCGCCGTCGGGTGTCCCACAGGGGAGCCATCTGGGCCCGACACTGTTCCTGCTATTCATCAATGACATCGTTGATCAAATGCCCCCGAACATCATGATATTACTGTTTGCTGACGATATCAAAATTGCCAAAATCATCAAATCTCAGCAAGATTCGGAGATACTGCAACAAGCCATTGACAAACTTAAGCATTGGTGTGACGTGAATCGGCTGCACCTTAACCTCAATAAATGTGCAGTGCTATCTATATACAAGAAACGTCAGCATTTCCATACAAACTACACCTATGGCGACCATGCCTTCGACAAAGTGACTGAACACAAGGACTTGGGTGTTCTAATTGACAGAAAACTATCATTTGCCAAACACATTGACATGGTCACTTCGAAGGCAACGGCTGCGCTTGGCTTTGTCAAACGCTTCTGCCATGATATCACCGACGTCACCACACTAAAGTCGCTGTATTTTGCATTAGTTCAATCGCACCTCGATTACTGCGCCATGGTATGGCTTCCATTCCACAAAATTCACAGCGACAAAATTGAATCCGTGCAACGCCAATTCACTATGTACGCTCGTCGTGAATACCCATCCGTGCATAACCAATACTCAATCACACCGTACGAGCAGCGATTGTCAGACTTGAACATGATTAGTCTTCGCCGTCGACGTGTCAACGCGTCACTGACTTTCTTCTACGACATCATCAACGGTAATGCTAACTGTCCAACAGTTAGTGACCAAGTCTCACTTAATGATGGGCGTTCATTGAGACACAGCGAACAATTCAAGGTGAATGACAAGCACATGAAGCTGGTGCGAGAAGCTCCAATTCCTCAAATGTGCAAAATGGCGAACATGGTGCCGGAACTGTTCACAGCTGCGACCTCAAAGAAGAATTTTGCATCATCGGTTCGCAGAATGGCGGACACCACTTTTGGATCGCTTTGCAAACTTAAATGACTACCTGGCCGCCTAGTCAACTTCTCATCCAGGTAACCTCATTTTTTGTATATGTTCTCCACGAGAACACCTTGATACTGCCCACATTTATGATGAAATTTCGATTTTCATGTTGCCGTTAAACCTGATCCTGATCTCAAGCGGACAAACTCATCAATGACAACGCATATTGCCCGAATGCCATTTGGGTTACTGCTGATAGAAACAAACAAGAGTAGGGCTGCCCCAGGTACCAACCACCTACGTGGTATTCGACTCATCGCACACGAATCACACAGCAAAATCGATACTAAAAGACTGACGAATTGTTCCCCATACATCTCTTATGTGTATAGAAATGATGATACTTATCTGTGATGTTTACACTTATTATTTATTGTAAATTTTGATTTTGTGCTTTGTTGTAGCCATCCATGAGTTGGCAACTTAATATTCTTATGTCTGAAATCAATTTTGAATTATTCATAATTAGCATCAAATGCTCTAGTTACGCTTCAAATCATAGTCCATGTCAACTCAATGCACTCTGCAATCAACATGGATCTGCCTTTAAGACGTAAAACTTCTCGTCGATTTATCCACCGGTATAAATTGAGCGACGACTTTTGCTGTCCTAGGGTCTCAAATTAAACGCGTAATTAAACGCTTCACATAGCCTTTGTTCCTTTGGAAACGTTTACCAAAGGTTATCATGGACCGTTTGCCATAGACTAATATCAAGCATTTCCATCTTGGTTGTATGACTGTTTTTTCGTTTTCATGTTCCTAATATTGTGAATACCGCATGATGTATGAAAAGAGCCAGGTTTTTAACGAGGCGAGAACTGATAGTTATGAAAAATTATCGCTACTAAATGTTTATCATTTTAAATATGTAACAGTCTTGCACTCTTTTCCGGCCAAACCTTAATCAAAAACCCACATTATATTCAGCCAGAGCTTGGCGGTGTTTATTAAAAATAAAAATAAAAAAAAAAAAAAAAAAAAATGTACCAAAATTGGCCTCAGTGAAATAACATTTTAATAAAGAAAGCAAATGTCATCGTCCGACGAGCGTTGAATTGAATAATTCAACATAATTGCTGTGCTGTTATAAAAATGTCTAAGTGAAACAAAGTGGTCAAAATTAAGAATGTGCATAGTGAAGTCGATTATTCGCGATTGCCAATGATAGAATGTATTTACATGGAAACTGACTGTCGAATATGGAAAAAAAATATTTGAATAATTTCATTTGGAAATAATATTTGCGCCATTCGGTACTTTTAATTTAAATAATGTCGATCAAATCGGTCGAAATATGCGTTTGATTGGTTCCTTAAATTGATTTGACCAAAATCACAAATATGACATGCACTCCAAAATTATCGCATATATTCGCTATTAATCAATTTAAAAGTGTTAATAAAAAAGCAACAATTCAAAATTTAAGTGTCGCGAAAAAAGGTCGAAATCAGAATTGATGTATTCATTGAAGACAATCAACGAAAATTTCGCGAGCCGGCAAAAATAAACATAGCTATTACCTAATACGTAAACAATTCTAGATACGAATGTGTTCCGTATCACGTAAGAGTTGCCGTTCGCGAATGCGGTTGAGAAGCCGTACGAAGTGACATAAAGAAAGCAATCGCACACGACCAATCATATGGTCGTCGGGTTAGTGAATGCCAAATACACATTCAATATCCATATCAAAATGTGGGTATTGTGTTTACAGTCGAATAAAATGCCGCGAAAATTCTTAGTTCTCACATCACACGCACCCACAAAAGAAATATTGAATTGATAATAGTGGAAAATAAAGCAAGCAGACATTAGAGAGGTGGAATTGAAACGGTACCGGTCGCTTTGATTCCATCTGTTCGTTAATAATTTATATCGGATAGAATAGAAAATCTAAGTCGACTTGTTTGTCTGCTATGCTTATTCTCGAATACCGGCTTTTCTATAGCACCACTACCGAATTGAAGGTTATTTTTGTATATATTATGTTTTTGTTCATTGTATCTTCATACGTATGCATACATGCGCGGCACGAACAACGTCAGCTCATCACATTCAAATCAGATTTTTTTGGCGTATCTCTATGCGTTTGAAAATTGAATTTTCAATATAAATCAGATTATGCTTGAGCTGTTCCCTGAAGGAACGAACAAAAGGGAAAGGAATTCCATTAATCATACACAAATGGATGTATGTACCATGGATTTCAATGCCTTCTTCAGAAAATTCGTCGACTAGTTTATTATTGAGTCAATAATATTGACTCCCGCCGAGAAAGAAAGTCAACTTAGGCACATCAAGTAATAACTGTGCTGTTTGTTTCTCGTTACTTTCATCCAATATTCAGTTTCATCTATAGTTGACCCATTTCCGTGCATCGCTGGGGAAAATCTGACACAGAAACAGATGTGCATTTCATCAGAACAGCATCGAGTTACACTGAAACGAAGCAATGTAAATATTTCAAAATTACCGAACTTACATTGCATCAGCTTGAGGCAATGTTCATTAAACGATGACTGTTTTTTTTTTCATTTCAGCTCACATCCAATGCAGACTGATTTCGTGACGTCGGTGAAAAAAGTTTGTGTAAACGGTATCAAATAGAGAAATTCCTTAATTGCACGCAATAACATTGATTGTGATTGAAAATCAAATGAATAGAATTTATTCCGATAAATGTATATCGAACAGTTGGGAACCAATACGCATGTTGTGACGCACAGCAACGCACCTCAACCTCGCACCGAACGCTCAGTGTTTGTTTGGCATTCCAATGGTCTCCTGCATGGATCGAGTGTGAATATGCCTGGCGTTCGCTATCCGCATGTCGAACATGCGCTACCAAACACTCAAATGCGTTCGCCTATTCCCCATATAGATTTGGAAGCGGATGATAGCAAATTGAATCGACATCGGTCACCATTTGCTTGCTGAACACGGCAAGCTAAAGACACGCGGTCCATAAACGTCTTGTCTAGGGCGGTAATTTTTCCGTTCTTCTTTCATTTCGGCAAATTTATTCCGATTTTTATCACTCAAGTGGCTGTGCAGTGAAAGTGAGTTGATTAGCGTAATCTATTGAGTGCATATTTGTTTATTTTCGAAAGGGAAAACAATCACAAAATTCTTTATTTACGGTCACGGTTTTTTTTTGGTCATTTCTATTTGCTGATTATCATTATCTCGAACCGAAGCCGCAATCGAAGTCCAGAAACATACTATTTATAAATTGCTCGATAAATATGAATAGCCTTATCGTCTGCTGCTGTTCGTTAAAAGCTGTGTAAGTCACTCGCAATTTATCAAAGTCATTCTAATTTTGTGCAAAATTTCATTTTTCGTTTGCAGAGAGCAACTCAACCAAAAATGGCAGATCGGGTTCCGGCTAGAGGAAATATACTGGGCAGTGAGTAATTTTCATTTTCTTTAGAATTTGCGATAAAATCAAAAAAAAAATCCGGCAAAAGTTCGATTAGGTTCTGTTTTTGTGACGAACGTTTTTACAAGTGTAAATGGCAACAAGAAAAAAATATCAACCGATTCCATACGATTCATGCGGATGGTAGATGATTGCGCATAAATCCACACATCTTGCCTCATTTTCAAATCATTTTCTGCATTTACAAACGCCCTACTGAGCATAATTATGTGAGAATTTCAATAGTGGGATTTGCATGATAATAAATGGAAGACTTGAATAGATTTTTTTCATCGGTCGATTGTGCATCCAATAGGCCAAAAGCATTCAAGGTCGTATAAAGGTTGTGTATATCGTCGAATGTTCCGTTCCTGTGGAAGCGCGCGCTCTGTCACACACACCGTCTGTGTGGCATCGCTCGGTTTATCCTAACGCGTTGACTGTGTGTATATTTCAATAGGCTACCGTATAGAAATATTCGCACGGTCCATACACACGAACCACATAACATTTGTATTCCGTATTTTCGGCATTTTCGAACGCTACGTTCTAGAATACAATGCAATGCTCCATATTCATTGCTGTCAATAACTGACGACGATCAAATTTATTATTCAAGTAGTTAGAAACAAACGTAGTGTGTTACGGTTTCGTCTCAATTTTGCCGTGAGCAAGCGATAAATTCATATTCATTGAGGGTTTAATGCAATGTTCAGCTCATTCTATTCTCTATTCACACACTTTACCAGCTACACTTTAAATGCTCTTGATCTAAAAAATACTGATAGAATCAATTTACCTATCCAAAGTCTAGATTTACTGTATATACGCGAGGATGTCTGCTGAAAAAGTCTAACTTCGTATTTTCCTCTTCAAATTCAAACGTGAATTTCTGTAGCAATTTGGCTGCGTTCCAACGGTTGACACAAACAAAACCACCATAAAATGCAACAGTTTACGATGGTTCATTGCTAAATCATTGTGTTTTTCGCCGTTTATTTGGATTTTCTCTCTCATCGTTCTGTCTCACTTAGAATACCTTCATTTCGAAATTAAAGAGACGAGAATTAGAACTCTGCCACCGAAGAACTCAAAATATGCTCGACTCTCTCTCTCTCTCTGAAGGGTGAAACGAAAAACGTCCTAAAAACCCAAAAATCGTCCTATAAGTTACGAAAATCATCCTATTTAATCACAAAAATCGACCTGAAAAAATACAAAAAACATCCAAAAAAACAGATTGTGTTTATTACAGTATATTTTACTGAGTTGTCTCATATAGTTACTCAAAAAATTGTTCAATGTGTCCAAAACGCATATTTCTATATCGCATGAGGCAGATATGACGATATTATCGTGTGATACTTCCTTACGTGCGTCTGATATTCATCATATTTCGTCAAAAAAGAATCATATCCACGGTTTAGGTTACTCATAAAGTGTGTCATTACTCACTCGAAATCAAAACGGCAAAATTAAAAAAAAAATCGGCGTTTTTTGTGTTTACGGTAAAATGTCAAATTACCAACAATCATGCAAAAATGTTGGTAAAATGGCATTTTACCAACTTTATGAATGCGCAAACTTTATGTGGCGAAACAAATATAATTCCTCATAAAAATGAATTGAGATGTAAAACAATTATTAGGACGTTTTTCGTTTCACCCCTCTCTGAATTTGTGCCGAAAGTTGTCGAAAGAAATAAGAATTATGCAAGTTACACTTGGGCTTCGCTTTTTTTCCCTCACATATATTTTACGTTCCGTTAATCTTTCGCGTGAAATTTATGTACTAAAATGCTCATGAATTCATTTTCAATTAGGTCTTGTGCCAGCCAGGTACATTCTGGCAATTTTAGGATCAATTGCGATGGCAATTGTCTATGGATTGAAGGTAAATTTGAGCGTTGCAATGGTGGCTATGTTGAATCATACGGCGATCAAATTATCGGCCGGTGGTGTTCATAATGTATCATCATCGATGACAAATTTGACGACCACCGTACATGGAGGCGATGAAAATTGCGGCAGCGATGCAGCATCTGAGGCAGCAATGGAGGTAAATCCATAAATTATAACACGATATGTGAACAAGTGAATCAATTATGAAAATGATGTGGCGTCTAAAATGGAATTTATGGCAAGCCATAAATACAAAAGCATGCTGCTGGCACATTGATCGAATACGAACAGAAAAATGTACCGAGCCAAATTGCTAAAATGTTATAATATGTATGTATGTGGAATGCATCGGTTTTGTACACCAAGTAAACTCTCGTACATTCTTCGGGCGGATGGATGAATATTGAAAACATAAGTTTTCGCTGCATCATCACAATCAAGTGAATTTATGCAAAATAATTTATCACTGGAGCGGAATATGCAGTGACAACACAATCCAATTTGCCTGTCATGGATCGCTAGAGATGTCTTATTACACATACGTATAACTTATACTTATAGACACATACGTCCAAAACGGCGCTCACACATTTAACTTCTCAGATGAATATGCTGCTATTAGCTTTAAACAAATTGTTATACCATTTTGCTTCAAACAAATTAATTTACTTTTATCAATTTATTTGCTACCGACTGCTCATACATAGAAAGTGGGACCATTCAATTGGAGTGAACCACTTCAAGGCACCATTTTGAGTTGGTAAGTATGACTACAGACTATTTAATAAGCAACATCAATGGGCAGAAATTCAATTTATTTACACTTTCAATCGATTTTACTTTTACTTACAGTTACTTCTGGGGTTATATAGTCAGGTAATGGTAAATTTTTGAAAATTGAGTCAAAAATGAAGAAAATTATGTGCAAATTTTTAGTAAATTTGAGTCAAAAATCGGAAAATTTGTGTTCAAATTCTAAAATTTGTATGAGAAACGGAAATTTGAGTACGAATTTTTTGTTACCAGTCAATTACCTGCGGCTCGTGTTGCTGAGAGCTTCTCAGCTAAGTATGTGATGCTTTTCTCCGTTGCCATCAATGTCGTCTGCACTATTTTGACCCCGTTGGCTGCTAAATTCCATTATGGCGCCATGATTGCAATGCGTATTGGTGAAGGTATGTACACACTCTATACAAATCGTTAGTGCTGAATCTTATTTTGCACATGTGCGAAGAAAAATGTTCCTCGGGATTATGTCGAAGTTCCTTTGCAACAGCAAACCATATTAATGTTTTTCAAATCCAATTACCAACAATATTTGCCCACGTTTTCATTTTCAGGTATCGGAGGTGGAGTAACTTTCCCGGCCATGCATGTCATGCTAGCCACTTGGGCCCCACCAACTGAACGTAGTACAATGTCGGCTTTAGTGTAAGTGTTTTCTGACGCAAGCGAAAAAAGGTCATTCATTTTATTTCCTCTTGTCGTGATTTAATTCGCTTTTGTCCATTAGATATGCGGGTACATCGCTCGGAACTGTAATGTCAATGCTGTTGGCCGGTTTTTTGGCCGGTAATTACGGATGGGAATCAGTGTTCTATGTGATGGGCCTTCTCAGTGCAATTTGGATTTTGCTATGGGTATGGTTGATTCAAGATTCTCCATCGAAACAACCGTTGATCTCGCAAGAAGAACGTAACTACATCAACTCATCGTTGGGAAGTGGCGATAAACATGGCCAAGAAGAGGCTAAATCACCAGTACCATGGCGTCGTGTGTTCACGTCGATGCCATTCTTAGCAATTTTGGTTGCACATACCTGCTCCAACTGGGGCTGGTACACATTGCTCATCGAAACCAGCTTCTACTTCAAACAAGTGCTTCACTTCAATATCAAAGAGAATGCTGTCGTTTCGGCCATTCCATTCTTAACGATGTGGTTCTTCAGTATGGCATTAAGCAAAGGATTGGATGCACTTCGTGCTAGAGGCACTGTGTCTACAACATTCGCTCGAAAGTTATCGACACTTATCGCCTCTGCCATTCCAATGATTTGCCTATTTGCACTCTGCTACATTGGATGCCGTCGCGGTTTGGCCGTTTTAATCATGGGCATCGGTCAGTTGATTCGACCACAAAAACATCATCACAAACGAGGAGTAACAAATATTCAACCGTTTTTTCTCTCTCTACTTTAGGCATCACATCGATCGGTGGCATGTTCTGCGGATTCTTATCCAACCACATTGATATCGCGCCAAATTATGCTGGTACTCTCATGGCCATAACAAACACTTTTGCAACTCTGCCTGGCATTATTATGCCCATTTTTGTTGGCGCCGTCACACACGGCAACGTAAGTTAATCGCAAGCAATAATTCTTCCTTGCATCACAGACACACTAATGAACATGCTTTTTCTCGTGTATTCTCTCAAACAAACAGCAAACAATTAGCGCGTGGCGGGTTATCTTTTATGTGACGATTGTACTGTACATCATCGAAATGGTCATGTACACAATGTTCGGATCAGGCGAGGAGCAACCGTGGAATAAGTCACAGGCGCGGGAACTTGTGAGCGTTGGCTCAGTCAAACCAAATGGCGAAAATATGCCACTCAAAGGACGTGACAGTCGAACCGTTGAATAAACATACCAACCATGACCAAATTTGTATGGGTTTTACAACCAAACATCGTCTATTTTATCGGCGAATTTTAGCAAATTCGTACCACACAAACATGTTCATTGTCGTACATACACACAGCTCTCTACTCTGTCAGCTACAACGTTTTTGTTCAAGTGTTTGTCTATCGTTGCATTTTATAGATTTTTTTTTGTTCATTTGAAAGATAGTTAGAGTGTCTCGCAGCCATGGGACAAAGCAAATATTTTTTTTTTGTAAAATAAAATAAATTTGAGAATTTCTGTTTAAAGTTAGATGTAAGACAATTGGGTGTGTAATTCTTTTTTGAATGAATGTGCCAGAAATACATTCGAACTGAGTGGAATTGCTCTCTTCAATTGGTTTTAGATTCATGATTGGCACAGCCAATCAATCATCGATTGTCAACAAATTTATAGCGTCCATCAAATCGTAAATGTCCTAGTCTCCCATCTCAATAAAATTCGATTAGTTTCATAAAATAATCGATTTGTACATAGGTAACACGTATTTCCAACTCTCTATTCCTAGACCCATCCCAATTAGTTGACATGCGACACATTTTATGAGCATCAAAATACAAATGACTTTGATCAAAATGCCAAAGAAACGCGAATTCGATTTTTGTTTTCTATTTCAAGTTCTCAACACAATTCTATTCAATTATCCGAGATAATTGGTTAGTGCTTTTGATTCTGCAAAGAAAAAACTTTGCATGCGTTTCTAGTGGAGTAAATTGAATATTTTAAAAATAAAGCAATTGGAACATTCTAAGATCAATAAAGAAATTTTTTTTTGATGTATTCCGGCTTGGGTTTTATATACTAGAGTCATTCCGAAAACAGCAACACTTCTGAAATATTTTATCTGAAACAATAGCAACTGATAAACAGAACCATCACAACGTCCTTCTTCAAACCCAGTCTTTCGCATTGAAATGAAACAGAGTGGCTGCAGCGAGATCTATGGTCTACTATCTAAGACACACACCATATGGGTATGTGAACTCGCTTTTGATCAAATACACCAAATGATTTTCCATGGATGATTCAATAGCATGTTGAGTGTGGAAAATTCATCAAATTTCATCGCGCGAACTCTATTTTCCAAAATTACTTTTTAACCGAAGATTTTCACCCAGATTAACTTGAACGGTAAGGCTTTCGACGCTTTTCATAAACTTTCACGGTGTCCTTTCATATTTTAAACAGACGGTTGAAGTCAGACATTTCAAGGTTACAATTTGTAACAATTCGTCCTATTTTTATGATGGAACTCGTCGAAAAAAAAACAACGACAACAATGTATCAATGTTATTCAATACATCTGAAGCCGAAAACTATTTGTGTGTCTTTTGATGCTTGTTTATAGGCAGAGATATTTTTCCAATTTACATTCCATTTTTAGCGGTCATATAATGTATGTTTTTTCAGTCTCCAGTCTGTGCTATTCTATCATTTTTTGCTCGTTCTAATAATGGAAAATTTACCATGCACATTGCACAATGTTCATTGAACATATTTGCATTAATTAAAATCGTTGTTGTTGTTGTTGTGAATATGTCTCTATAATACAATATAGTCTATATAAACACAGACGGGGGCTCTTATACTAATTGTGAGTACCTTATAAAACGGTGTGATCGTTTAATAAATTGTGTATATTCAATGTTCATAACAATAATGTAAACAACGTAGAAAACAAACACAGAGTGATATATAAAAGTGTCTAAACAATGTAGACGACCGAATGGGGTTTGTCTAGCAAAGAGCAAGAAGTAAAGCGATTTTGTGTGATATTTTGTATACAACCAAGTAGCCTTTGGTCTTCATTAGAGCGTAAAGTATTGAATGAAGTCGAATCAAGCCAAACCGATTACATCATACCAAGAACCAGAAGAACCTTTTTTCGTATGTGTTGTAGTGGCTGAAGTTTGGGGTTTTAAAGTCAAAACAAGAGGTTGATTTGTGGTGCGGGTCATGTTGTCGTTGTTTGTTTGGTGTTTTATTTCTTTTCAGGCGTTGAGATGTGACATCGATATGCTCTGTGCCGAGAGGACATAGACAAAGACACTCAAGGCAAAACACGCAAACACACACAAATAAGAACGGTAGAAGCGATTATTATGCATTACGCTTTAATTTATCGATCGATCCTAAAGCTGTCGCTAAATTGAACCCAAACCGATTTTATGAAATGCAAAGTAAACACAGCGTGGAAAAAACCAAATGTGTTTGTTCCTCGTTATATGCATTGCATATAAATACATCGGGTGAGTATAGTAATACATTTTAGCCAATAATGTCATCAAACTAAATGTATGCAAACAGAAATTAAAGGACGATGATGTGATCAGAGGCGGTACTTTTTCATTCCGCAAATGGCTGTTGATTCGAAGCCAAAATTCTTTCAACCGGGTGGATTTTTCAATGCATATCAATAATAATCAACGCAATGATGCGGTAAAGCCTGTCGAACCTATCTATAGAATTGTTGATCCTCTAGCGATATTGTCGTCAATCCCACATCGATCCGTTATATCCATCAATATTTACGAGCTGTCGGTGGTTGATGCGGTTCAGCCGGAGTTCAAACTATTTTCGCCGATTAGAAAGTTTAGTGACCTCCGACTTTGAGCATCCAATTTGGGAATTTCCCGGTCATTATTTCTATCACAACAATTTTATCAATGTTTGTTTAGATTTTTTTTCGTTAGCGAACAAACGAACGAACGAACGATGCTCCTTAATTGCTGTGGTTCGATAAAAATGCTTGAAAGAGTGAAATCGAAAAAATTACGTGCATAGAAGAAGAAAAGTACGTAAACATACAAACAATAATAAAGCGCTTAACAAGGGAAATAGCCAACGAGAAAACTGTCAGTGGGAGAAAAATGTCATGCATAAAATTGAAGTTCAAGGTTAACTTCATCGTCTTTTTTTTCACTCTCAATTCTCACGCTTCCCTCGCTAGCTCTTCCGGTTGCTCGTTCGTTTTAATTGCGTCAACTACGCAATAATGCAGCGAACATTTATAGATGGAAATAAAGTGTCGAAAAAAATGTGTGTGTGTGTGTATTGTAATATTTGATTGCGCATTGCCATAGAGCGAGTGAAGCTATAGAAAATGTTTCACTGTGACTTAAGGGTTTCAATTTAACGATTATTTTTAGCATCTATTGAATAGCAGGGGGAAAACGTCATGAATTTCATCTCTTTTTTTCCATGCAATAATTTTTGGTTCCATGCCGTTTTACTTATATAATAATACAATAGAAGAACAGACGAAATGACCAAAAATTCCAGCGTTAAAACATACATTATTTTGACACAATGGAATAAAAAAAAAGAATTTTCGTGCTAAAGCGCATAATTCGAGTACGACTTACTCGATTATTATTATTGTTATTATTCAGGCGTTGAAAAACTTTGTCTATGAGTTGCTAAGCGTTTTCTCAGCGGATTGGATAACATTAGTTCGGTTGAATAAAATTACATCATGGTTTGCATCACCACCAGGGAATTTCATACATAATATGCATATATGTATGAGATGTGTGCGTATTTTTTCCGGTAATTCTTTTCTCGAAATGATCGAAAATAAGCCAGCAAATACTTATTGTGTTATGTGAAAACAATAATATGTTTATCGAAAAACTTAGGCGTCCTTGTCGGTCGCATAATGTCACCGCATTAGAGGTTTTCTTTCTTACGATGTATTTTATGCGATTCCGTTGGCCGAAGAGCTGTCAACATCGGTTAATGTCTTTGTCATAACACACCAATATTGGATCCATTGGTTTTAGGTTTTGGTCTTTCTCCTGCGCTCCCTTCATCTTGTTTATTTATTATTGAAAGTTGAGTGAACTCAACTTGGTTCGGAGGGTAGTTCAGTCGATTGTAATGGTCAATTTGGACAAGAATGCTTTTCCGATGATTACGGTAAACAATTCAACTGGTGTTAACTTAGCACCAACGAATCAAATTGGGCTTGAATAAAGTAATCGGCATCTAATCCATAACCCAAATGCAAACAAATTTAATATCAGAGGGCAAAACGTCTAAAAAAGCGGATAAAAGAAGAGAAATATTGTATTATTCGTTTAGTTAATAGCGGAAAGGAAGGAAAACGAAACCTCAACATTGCCAGTTCAAAATCAAGTTCAAGGTTCATTTGCGATAGCATTATTGATATATGTGGAAGTCAAGTTTGGTGTGAAATGCAAACAACGCGAATAACAATCATAGAATGGAATTACGTATTTTGAAATATGCTAAGACACAATCTCATACACCTACACTGTATGCACGAATAGTAATCTTTAAAGTGGTGTAGGCAGATCGAAAATTTGCAAAGCTTCCATAGCATCAATTTCACTTGAAATCTAAACACAAATAAATGTAGTGTGAATGCCATGAAGGATTCATTCAACCTTGTATTTTATTTTAAATTACTCGCAAAGCATCTGTTTCAAGAGGTAAAATTCTCCCATTGAATATGTTAAAACAATTAATTAGTAACATTGTATCCATTATTGATAACCTGATTAAAAGGCTGCTATGGTGTGAATTAATTTATGGCTATCGTACTTCATATTGTATTTTATCATTATCGATATCGTAGGTTCGCTCGATTTCATGGAAGTTGTACGATGCGAATCATTCGAGCTGGAGATTAGTAGGTCAGAGCAGACTATTGACTCAATGGAATGTAAAGTAAACTTAGTGTCTATCGTAAAACTGGGTTATTTTTCGAAATATATTCGTGTTTTTTATTTAGTTTCTTCAACCACTTTTCCACATCTATCCTTCGGACGTCGTCGTCGTTGTTGTTGTTGTTCATTCATTTGTTTCAACGTACACGAAATTCAATTAATGCTGAAACATTAGCAGTCGTAATTAGGCGAATGATGAGCGATAAATCCTTTTTCGCTCAGTGCCGTCTGTGAAATTCAATCCGACAGCCTTAATAATATTGAAATACCACGTTCGCTCCAGCTCAGACTTAAAAATCATATTCGATGCCATGGTCATTAAACATCGCTTCATGATTTATGAAGATCAATGAATTTTGTATCCATTTTTTCTCTTTGACCTCCCTCCTCTATCTTTCTACCGAGAGATTCGATTTGTTTACCGATTGCTCATCGTACCGAAGCCAAACACGTCGATAGATAATAATTGGTATTCATTCATTTGTCATTTGATTGTTGTGTTTAACGAGTGTTAAATTACAATTAGTGTTGCTGCAAGCAAGTCTAGACGTCAACAAGCTTTCTCGTTTGCTCGTTACCTTCAAATGGCCATACGTTATCATGATAACGTAATATCAACACTTTGCCACTGCTAAACAAACGTATTTATTGATTCGATTGAGGGTGTTGATTGTTGCAAATCAAATCAGGATGTAGCCCAAGTTCGGTCGTCAAGTGATCGTATATATGGGAAAAACAATAAAACTTTCCAAATGTCATACACGCCACCGTTCATCACCTACCATTACATAACACACTGAAGCCATAAAATGACGTATCACACAAACGTACAATCAAATGTGTTCTATTAAACATTGTTTATTCATTGAAATTGTGTAATTAATTTACATGGTATTACAATATGTGATTGAGAAGAAAAAAAGATTAATATTCATACATCCATTCCATTGATTATTATTATGATTAAGTATAGAGTTTGTAGGAATTTAAAAGAATTTGTGCGGAAATCAGTACGTAACAATTGTTTGTTGAACATTTCCATGTAATCCAATGCCAAATTGGCAAATTTATTCGATTAGAGTGGTGGTTAGAATGGCATTGCACACTGCGTATGGGTCACAATTTGACGAAGGTCGTCTGTCTTCTAGGTAACCCTTACCATCGTTAGCAACACTGCGTGAAATGCGAACCTGGAAATGAATTGAAATTGGTTCGATTGTTACCAATTATTTGTTGAATGCAAAAGAAGAAATCACGGTGCTTTCCAATAAAGAAAATACTATTGTTCGATTTGATAATACTTACGCTTGAGCCACGATCTGCAACACCCCATGAGAATTTGTCAATCGAAGAAGTTTCGAGTGCTCCAATCAATCGTTCGGCATTGTAAGCACCCCCGCGCGGATCATACGCTTTAATGTGTTTGTCATGTTTCTTGGACAATTTTTCAATGGCAGCTTTAATGGCTTTAATACCACCATCTTCACGCATCGCACGAGTTGAGAAATCTGTTAATGAAGAAATAAAAGACACAACGGATGATAAAATCCTAGTGACCAGGAAAGAAACAGTGAATGTAAATCAAATTTTATTTAACTCACTTGTATGTGCTCCAGCCCCATTCCAAGCACCTTTTATCGGTTTCGGATGAAATGTAACCACGATGCCCAATTCTTCGGCAATACGCCACAAAATGTAACGCGATACCCATAAATCATCGGCTGCTTTAATTCCAAGCGATGGTCCAACCTGATACTCCCATTGCGCAGGCATCACTTCAGAATTAGTGCCAGCAAAATCAATACCAGCATACAGGCAAGCCAATGCATGCGCTTCGGCCAAATCACGAGCATAGACGCGGTTTGCTCCGACTCCACAATCTAAATTTAGACACCGACAAAAATCGAAAAGGAACAACACAACTGTTTTTAATCTCCGAACAGAAACTAGTCGAATGCATAAATAATTTTAGAAACTATGTGTACTTACAATAGGGACCTTGTGGCGCGGGAAAGCCTGCAAAAATAACATATTGACAGCAAGTGTATAGTTATAGTTATAATTATGTTGTTGAAATAGTGTACTTGACACTTTACAGCGAAATATTTGCGAGCGTCTTACCGTTTTCAGGCCATCCAAATGGCCGTTCATCGATGTCAAGCAACGTATATTCCTGTTCAATTCCGAACCATGGTTCGTGCTCTTTGGTTTTATCGACGGCATCTTGCAAGAGATAACGATGATTGCTCTCGGTTGGTTCACCATCTGGCTTGTACGTATCACACACAACGATAACATCACGTTCGCCGACCTTGAAAGGGTCACGGTAGATAGCACGCGGTACAAGTGTAGTATCCGAATTACCACCGAGCGCTTGATATGTTGAGCTGCCATCGTATTGCCATTGTGGCAAATCTTCAACACGATCTGGTGCCTTATTTAAAATACGATCTTTTAATCGGATATTCTCACCCGTGCCATCAATCCACAGATAGGTGGCTTGAATTTTGCTCGAATCATACTTTAATTGACGGTATCGATTCAACACCGATTTATCCAAATAAGCGTTTGGGCTGGACGATAAAAATTTGGCATGACACTTTGATGTCGACAACATACGCACACTTGAAATTCCCGACGTACGTTGAACTGATAAAATGCTCTTAAAGAACACACCAACAAAGCGTTGCATCGACATTTTTGCTTCTTTTGCTTCGGAACACAATACTCTTCTACCAAAATCACTTGAACACTTTATGCTTTTATGTAAAAAAAGAAACTTTATCGAAAATTCAACAACTGCTTATTGTCTCGTTGCAATTAAAATACGACTAATTAAAAATCTGAATCAAATCTACTTGATTTTAAAATGCTTCCCATTGATGAGTAGAAAAGATTCTGTATTTAAAATGAAAAAAATTTGTTTTGGTTTCTCTTGCACCACGTTTTGAACGGAGACACAATGAGACTATATTCACTTTGACACACACACTCTCTCGCTCATCGAAAAATGCTCACACAGCGCCACGCGAACACACGTTTCATTGTATTGGTGTGTATTTTGTGCTCTGTCTATTTGTTGTGTTCGTTCACGCGCTTACACGGATTCCTGTGTAATAACCAGGAGAGAGGAGAAGAGCAGCAGCGCGTTTTGTTACTGCACATACACAATCACACACACACACAAACGGTTGGAAAATTGATTTTGTAGCGTTCAACATCTACAACAAACAACAGCTGATTCAGATAGAGAGGAAGAGCTGTAGCAGCACTAAAAATAATACATGTATGACACTGTACGCATGCACCGTTTAACTTCATCGATTTGTTTTTGTGTTGGAATCACGGTACTCATCTGAAATATTAGCCCTTTTGGGTTCTTGTCAATAGCAACACGATTTTTGTTGCTCTCACTCACACGGTGAGCAAATGCAGCGTTTGTCAAAAATCGTGATTTTTTTTTTCTTGCTTTATGACCATGCATTATTAAAATGAATCCATCCAAGTAATTGGATCAATCGACTGGATTGTATTCGGACTTGATTAAATTTCAACGAAGACAGCTCGAATAAAGTGTCGGGCCCAAACCATTGTCGCTTTTCTTTTGTGCATTCTTTTTTCGTCATGGAATTGGTTTTTTTGGATTCTTTTTTTTTTTGAATAACAACTTCAAACTGGTTTTTCGACAAACAAATTCTGTTGCTTTATTCGTTCTCTTTGTATTCCTTCTTTTTTCATAAGCAAATATTTGGTAAATTTAATTTTTTTCTTTCTTACTCTGAACTCCTGGAAATGGTTTTCTGTTTTGATACCAAGAACAGGTTCTTATTTTTCTCACCTCTCTTTCACCTTCTATCCCTCGCTTTCTTTTTGTTGTTGTTCATACACGAAATTGTAAATAAAATGGTATTATAGCCGAAAAATGTTCGGTCGATGAACTTGCGGTCCATGATGAAGTCGCCATCTCGCACAAGCCAAGAATGTTTACCTATTGAACGCGCAATAATTATTTAACCTCAATTCGATACCATTCTTCAATTCCTAGTTCAATTTCCATTTGCCCGCGACAAAGTAGCGACCGTAAACCAAAATGTTTAAAAGAATTGATTTGTCGATAGGCATTGATGTATTACGTAAATCCAGAAGAATTGGCATTCACTCACAGAAATTAATGGGGTTTTATAATCAGATTGAGAGTTTCATAATCAAACGCCAACCAAATGGATTATTCTAAGATTCATTGTTCTTAGCGTTTTGGCATCGATAACAAATGAATTAAATCAAATTCCGTTCTTACAAAGGAGCCAAAAGTAATAATTTAGGCCGTTCATACGCTCTTGATATGCTACTTAAATCATGGAATTGTGTTCAAATCATGAGAAACATTTTAAGCCAGGGTACCTTTGTTATGATACACGCGCGTGTGTCGAATAACCTTATGAAGATATTTACTCGTGATTTTATTACAACAATTTTATATGGCGTGCTGATTTTGCGAAAATCCTTTCATATCGGACTGGAAGATGTTACAGTTGTTTATGCTGTTGTTGTTGCACTTGTTCCATATAACGAGCTGCATGCTGTGCCAGTCAAGTCGACTTTGATCATTTGCATTTGTAAACATTGCAAAAAATACGAGCGAGACAGAGAGAGAGAGAGAAGAAAAAAGCGTTCAAATGCACCATCTATCGTCAACATCACTTGATTTGCATTGCATAAGAAGCATTTACGTAAGTCGGTGGATACGCACATCGCACATCTACCCGTTATGTGCTTTGTGCGCTGGAGTTGTATCCGTATTTTTCCGTCAATGCTTGCCACTAGGAAGTCGTTGCCAGAATTTTTCGGGAGAAACGCTCCCACTCCCAAGTATGGATAGTTCCAGGTAGTAAAGGCAATAGGAGGGTAAAGAGTAAGGGTTCTTTGAAACACAGATAATGTGTCGCCCGAGGAAGATATACCACTGCGTCATTGTGATATAATCACAAACATCGAATCGATTACAAGATTATGAATATTTTGCGTCGGAATAGAAGAAAAATTATCAACTTTGGACTGGTAACTAAGACAAAGATGATTTAGGCATTATTTTGCGGTGATCTCTCGCAAATTACTCAACCGACCACAGATTTCTTGCAGCGTGATGACGTGCTAGCAAATACATAGACCACGCAACTGTAGTGCCATACTTCAAAGGATAATATCGGCACATGTCTCTGCATTAATCAAACCGCTTTGTGCGTCGAGTCACATGCGATTAGGGCCAGATGCCACAATATGATTTTAACACAAAATCTAGCCCATTTTCACATTGGTTGGCTGCGAACAAAAGGAATATTTGTATCCAAATATAGAAATAAAGTCAAAATGTCGAATCGACATCGATTAGCCTGATCATAAGCACTTGGCTATGATATAATAAGGTCGATAAATATAAATTATTATCTATAGATTACATATATTTTGATTATCTATCGACAGAAATATAACTTTTGTTTGATTCATTGTTTTTTGTTTCAGACGCTTAAATGGCCCCGACATTCATGCAAATGTAAAGTTCTGTGAGAATACATTTCTATGAATGAATCGTTTGATAAAAGATTTTTTTGTTTACCAGAAACCGTTATGTTGAAATTTCCAATGGCAAATGAAGAGAAAAAGTGCAATTTTCTTCCATAAATAGCTTTACAAAAGGAAAATCACTTTGTTAGAATATGACAATAGATGGATGAGAAATTGCTTTCTCCACTAACAGAAAGCCCAGTTGAAACAAGTACAATTATTCTGCCAGGTTATACGATAATTGTGTATATCCATGATGCGACTGTGTTGATGACACAACTTATACAAATTATTTTTAGTCAAACGAGTTTTTACTTGAAATTTTTCCGATGATGATGGACTTTGTTGAAATGAACAATAACATAATTATAATGGTATTGTTATATTTTAAATCGAGCAAATGCAGACTCTTTTTTATATGCATTCAAAAATATTTTCTTCTGTTTGAAATTCCTGGAATTTCTATTTTAGATTCGATTCATTTAGAAAACAAAACTAATTATTTATTTGATGTATGCCAAAACCAATTACATCAGTACAATAGCTGGAGCAAATCAACTGAAAAACCCGCATTGCTTCGTGCGTGAGCCAACCATTTTCCTTCCACTTTACAGAATACCAATGTTATGGAACTAATTTATGAGGAAGTTTTATCAATGTTATGCAATTATTAATTGAATCGCCGCCATAACATATACCTGAAAGTGCCCGCGCACACGCAACAACCAATAAAATGATAATTTATGTGCAGAAAAAATGTTAGACGCAAAAAATGTCATACTTTACGTTAGATAAGGAATGATAAATTCATTAGTTTCGAGATGCAGACCAAACAAAAAACGCAGAGAGAAAGAATATAATGGAAACGCAATAAATGTCATATGAAGTCAGAAACATTCATGTTCTGTTGACAGCATTATGAGCATCCGAAATGAATCCGTAAATTGTTCTCGAACAAGCAATTGACAACCAATTGACAAGGATACGAAGAAATATTAAGCGCACTTGATACAATTTTGCTTCTTTTTTTTTCTCTTGTTTTCTTCGCCATCGTTTGTAAAACGTAAAAATACCAATACAACAGTTTGTATTACATTCAAGGCCAAATCATGTTTCGATGGGTTTGTACTTGAAAATGTCTGCAAAAATTGCGATCCATTAAAATATGCGATGGAATTGTTTTTATTTTCCTCCTCATCATCTTCTTCTCTGGCTTGGTGGCGCTGCGCTTTTTTCAAATCTCATTTTGCAATTTGTTTATCGTTTGTGGTTGACACTTCGATTAAATGCAATTACAGTCTGTGCAAACAGAATGGTATATATGGCCCGTTAAACAGTTAAATGGATTTCATAAGCGATAATACGTTCGATTGCCTCTGCAAAAAAAAAACCGAACAACGTATTCTATACCTGTCAAAACATTTCGTTTTCAACTAAAATGTCATCGAGTGATATGTGCTACTGCTTCTGATGCTACTGTTGCTGATTTTTTTTCATACGAATGAAAGCGTTGAACGACTAAAATCGAAAACTGCCTCTATGTTGCGATGTAGTGTGACTGGTGGTTGGGAGTTTATGCGGTGACCAAGAACGAAATACAGTTGGCTAATAACCAGTCGGAAGAGGTCATTGATCATACAATAAAATAATTGGCATCTAACATCTGACTATGTTTGTCGTTGACTGAACCAAATAACAACACAATGTGGTGACACAAAAAAAAATCTCCACCAAGCCAAAGGAAGCACATCATTCACAGAAACATTTTCGGGTGATATACTTGTATCGAAATGTGCAAGCATTTTAATTATTCTGCGCCTCACTTGACGAAAATTCAAAGAGTTCATGAACTCCTCACTTCATTCACGTCGGTTTTCATAATCTCGGTGACAGAACAAATGCGCTTTGAATTTGTTTGTGAGTGCTAAGCCGTCAAAATAAACAACAATGGTGTAACAGCATTGAAAGCGATCGCTACCAAAACAGAAAGTCAGTGTCATTTAAATTTATTCATACCAACGCCCGAAATCACGAACGGCTCGATTAATGAAACTGACATTATTGGAGCGATAAATAAAATGGCTACGAATACAATGAAGCTCAAACACCGCAGCCCTGAGTGTGCTTTGGTTTAGCGCCAATGGTTTGAAGGGTTTTTTTTCTTCAAAAATGTCTCTCACAATGCGAACCGTCGCCGATATAATGAGGTTTCGAGCAAATTCATATTGAACACATTGTTTTTCGCGTTTTCCTCTTGATTTTAAACATTTTCATCGCAGAAGAATGCAAAACATTAACCAGACACTCATGTTTTGCTCCCATTCTGCCTCGAAAAATTCCGACCATCGACAGAGTGTATGTTTTGTCTGTTTTGCATGTATAATTTAATCCTGGCGGCACAAAAGCGTTCTGAGAACAGCTCATGGCCGTAATAAAGTAATGCACGTATCAAACGATTCAACGGATGCTTTTAATTAGTTTCACCGAATCTCCATATGGGGTTGTCGCGTTCAAACTGTGTG